TGAGTCTATTAATGTTGCTTGTATGTACATGTGCTTCTGGGGACCACTTTGGATTTGATAACCTATTTGGCACGTTCTTTGAGAAGAAGACTGCCTTTCCCTCTCAGCAGTCATTAATTGCCAGTAGTTCTTCACTTAGGGGTGGGGCCATGTAAGATTTTTCCCCGCTCGTGTTTACATGTCAGCTAGCTTTCATTTTACAGGTCTTGTTTGGACAACCATTCCGTCAAGATTTCATGAGTTGCAGTTTCCTTGTCATGTCTAAAAGAACAAAATTTACTAATAGCAAGTATAATCTCAGTTACGATGGAAACTATAACACAGATAACGCCACATTTCCACTTAACATCTGTTTTTATTATCTCAGAAAAGTTGAATGGGAAATTGAAATCTCTAATACATATGCAATACTGCTTTGAAAAATCAACAAAATCAGGGGTAGAAGTGGGAGAATCTGTGATTCCTTTGAAGCAATAACATCCTCATAAAAAAATATAGCTTTAGTGTGGGTGCTTATACTTCTTAATGTTTAACTTAAATCTCAAGAACAACATTTCCAAGTAAGTCTCTTTTGACAGTTTCCAGGTACTTCTTTACCACACCCAGTGGGTGCCAGCTTGCAACACAGATAAAAGTTAGGAAGCACCCTTCTCTCCCTCTACAGGCTGGGTTTCCTTTAAATGTACCACCCAGGCATTTGCCTGATAACTTGAAGCAACCCCAGAGCTAGCCCCAGTATATACTGCTGGTTGCCACTTTCTCCTCTCTATCTTTCCTCTGTGCTGGAGGCCTGTGGAGATTCCCCAGGGTCTGTAAGTACCAAAATATTTCTTTAACCAAACTTTCTCTTATATGTGCTTGTGTCACTGAAGTTGTTTGTACTTTGACACCCTGATAGTGAAGGTCCTGGGTCCTTGCTGGGGACAGCAGTTACCAGCTAAATTGCTCAAGAAATTCAGGTAGTATGGGGATGGAGCAATTTTGTAAATAGAATAAAAGCAACCTTTTTTGAATAAAAAGTCAATCTCGTGTTGACTTGTGAATCATATCAGCTCTGATAGTCACTGGCAATAGCAACTCTCAACTGGTAGTTTCTTTCCCCAGAGCTAATTTTGTCTGATGGAACTTGGCTCTTTTCATTAGTTCGTCCCTCAGGATAGAGGAGTCTTTGGGGATGGACGTGTATGGGGAAGCTGGAGAGGTACAGGTGTCCAGTCCATCTCCTAGCAAACTCTACAAAGACTTGAAACATCTAAGCCATTTCTGAAGTGAGGAATTTCTAGATTGGAGCAGGGCAAGGGCAGGGCAGGAGTTATGGCTAGCCCTTGAACCCACTGTTCTTAAATGGTTGGGGTGTAGTCAAGGGAACCTCCTTCTCAGTGTCCACCAAGGAGTCTGGTCTTCTGAATCTCTAACCTAAGGGTGGGGTATTGGGTAGGAGACAGTGTGGACTGTCCTCCAGGAAGGTAGTATGTTCACGATATGCCTTTGCCCTTCAGCTTAGCCTTATCCTACCAGCAGCCATATCAATAACCTCACTTTAAGTGAATCACTGCCCTCCTGGGCTGAGAGCCAGTGGCTGAAGAGACAAAAATATTTGGTTCAAAGCCAGAGAACCTTCTAATAGGCTTTCAACAAGGACCCAGATATTCTTTTCTGTGCCTCACCTCAATTTTTTTTTTAAAAATGACTACTTGAATTCAACCCATGACATGACATTTATCAGATAATCACTACAAATAAGACTGTACTGGTCGACTGATCTCCCTTAAAGAATACTCATCTAGGTTCATTTCTACAGAAACCACAGCTAGAGTCAATACTGACCTTTGAACTTCATTAACTCACCACAAAGTGGGACGTGACTGCGCCACAGAATAAAGCAATATTGAAAGTAGTTGAGAGTTTAAGATGAACCCTGAAGAGTCTCCCACGTCACAACTATCCGGTATACATAAGCGGTGAGCCATGACTATAATTTAAATTTTAAGGTTTTCATCACATTCACTTATTTAGAGTGTATATGAAGGGTGTGCATGTGGTATGGTTTATATGTGGAAGTCAAAGACAATTTATGGGAGCCATTTCCTTCTTCCATGTGGGTTTGAGGAATCAAACTCAGATCATGAGACTTGAAGGCAAGTGCTATCATAGTGAAGCCCTCCAAACAGGTGAAGTTTAGTTTCTTAACTACTTATTTTTTTTATTGGGGTAAAACACATAAATTTACCATCTTGATCATGTAAAAGTAAACAAATCAATAGCAATTATCACATTTTCCGGGAAGTCCAAGTGTCATCTCTGTCTAATTTCAGAATATTTTTAGCACCCCAAAAGGAACCTCCTACCTCACTCTCCAGTCCCAGGCAGCTACTGACCTGCTTCCTATCACTGTGTGTTAGATCCTGTTCTCAATGTAGGGTGGTTATATAAGATATGACCTTTGTGTTTGTCTCTGTCACTGAGGATTTCCTTTGTAAGGTCCACCTACAATGTAGAATGTACAGGAAACTTTTGATTCCTGAGTGATAAACCATCACTCAACTAGATCACATTTTGTTTGGGTGTTCATCACTTGATGACAATGGGTCGGTTCTGCCTGTTAGTTATTATGAACAACTTGTAGGTTGGTTTTCAAGGTTTTGTTTGAATACCTGCTTTGACTTACTTGGACTATATACCTAGGACTGAAATTTCTGGGTCACATTGTAGTTGTTTGTTTGCTGCTTATATATGTGTGCAGCGTGGAACTCGACATCAGATGTCTTTCTCAGTTGCTCTTCACCTTATTTTTTGAGACAGGGTCACACACTGAAACTGTTGCTCACAGATTTAGGTAGATCAGATGGGTAGCAAGTCCCTGGGTTTGTCCTATCCTCACCTCCACAGAGGTTACAGGCACACACTGCTTTGTCACTTGGATGCTAGAGATTGAATTCAAATCTTCTTGCTCAGCAAGCATTTTACTGAATAAGTCATCTCTCCACCTCTCTCTTTTGCCTTTTTGAGATCAAGCATCACTCTGAGGCCTTGATCCCCAATCAATATCCTCTTATGTCAATTTTTTACGTGGTAGGATTACAGGCATAAGCTACCATGCCAGCTTTTCTGTGCAGCATTTCTGAGAACCACTGAACTGCTTTCTGCTATGCTGTTATAAAATGCAGCCACTTTTCAGTATCCATGGAGTGTTGATTCCAGACCAGCACTAGCCCTCTGCAGACACCCATACTCCGAGGTATCCTGTTCTCTTATGTAAGACATCGTGGTACCTGCAGAGATCCACACATCCCCTTGGCTTTCAGTTCTGGGAGCAGGTGATCCACTGTCTTCTTCAGTGGATAGTGGCTGGAAAGTGTCTGGGCCTCTTTAATGGAACAGTAAGTTTCTCAGAGGGTCACTGAATTTGCATATACAGACCCTGAAAATGTTGAGGGCACCAGGTGTTTGTAGCCATTATATTCTGAATTCTGGCATTTCAACAAGTCATGACAAAATTTCTTGCTGAACTATTGTGTGCTCTTTGAATTTTCTTTTAAGATTTATTTTTATTTGTATACAAGTTTGGATGCTTGAAGAGGGTGTTGGATCCTCTGGAACCAGAGTTATAAGCAGTTGTGAGCTGCCTAATACAGGTGCTAGGGACTGAGCTTGGGTCCTCTGGAAGAACAGCAAGTGTTCTTATCTTTTTATTCTTCTCTCACGCCTCATGCAATATATCCCAACTGCAATTTCCCTTCCCTCCACGCCTCCCGGTCCCCCCACTACCTCCATCTCCCCAAATCCACTCCTCCTCAGTTTCCCTTTAAAAGAGCAACCTCCTAGGGATAGCAACTGAACATTGCATAACAGGATGCATTAATACTAGACACTAACCCTCATTTCAAGACTGGGTGAGGCAACCCAGTAGGAGGAAAAGGGTCCCAAGAGCAGGCCAAAGAGTCAGAGGTACCCCCACTCCCAATTTAGGAGTCCCCCCCACAACCTCAAACTAAACAAGGACTACATATATGCAGAAGGCCTAGCCGCAGAACCATGCAGGTTCTGTGATTGCCACCTCAGTCTCTATAAGCCCATCTGAACCCTGCTTATTCAATTCTGTGGGCCATGTTCTCTGGGTATCCTCAACCTCTCTGGCTCCTACAATCCTCCTTCTCCCTTGGGATTCCCTGAGCTCCACCTAAAGTTTGGTTGTGGATCTTACTCTCTCCTTTTGTCCATTCCTCTCCAACCTGGTCCTGCCTGTTCCCATCCCCACCTACTCCCAGTCCACCCACAAAATCTATTCTATTTCCCCTTCCCAGGGAGATCCATGCAACCTCCCCCCCGCCCGAAACCTCCTTTTTACTTAGCTTCTCTGGGACTGTGGATTATAGTGTGGGTATCCTTAATAGCTAATATCTACTGATAAGTGAGTACATATCGTTTTCATCTTTCTAGGTCTGTGTTACTTTACTCAGGATGATTTTTTGTAGTTCTATTCATTCGTCTGAGGTTTCATGATGTCATTTTTTAACTGCTGAATAATTCTCCATTATGCAAATGGACCACATTTCCTTTATCCATTATTTGGTTGTAGGACATTTAGGTTGCTTCCAGTTCCAGACTATTAGCAGCCAGCAGTCTTAATTGCTGAGCCAAGTATCCAGCCCTCTCAAAGCAATTATATTCATTTATTTGTATGAATGTGTGTGAATGCATGCATGCACACATGCTTGCACACACCTGCCACAGCACATGTAGGTCACAAGACAACTTGGGGTAGTCAGTTCTCTCCCTTTCTTGTATGCTCAGCTTATCAGACTTGTTGGCAGGTACCTTTACCTTCAGAGCCATCTTGGCTGGCCCTTGGCTGCACTTTAGTTTATGTTTTCACTATTTGATAAACCAAACTCAGAACCCTTGATCACCTTTGCTCCTGAGCAACCTGCAGCTGGTAGATAGTTCTTTGGAGGACAGAACTCTAGGTAATTTCTGTTTACTTACTGCAAAATTCCTGACGGTTCCTGTTTTTCCTCTTTGTCCTGGGAAGTTCTGACGTTTACTTTGCCACTGGACTCCAGAAAGAAGAGAAGGCGGCTGTGACCAAACGCAGCTCCAAGGTGTTGGAGGCTCTGCAAAAGCTGAACATCCAGGCCAACCAGGTAAGCGCAAGTGAGGCTCCATACTGGTGGGATTGCTTCTTCTGTCCCTAGGCTCTGCAGCTCAGCTCATCCAGGATGAGCAGGAAGGGTGGGTAAATAGGTATGAACTTACTCTGCCAGAGAATCGACATGGGGCAGATGTCACCCTGCCCAAGCAGGACCTTGGATGCCCTCTTATTCCTCACATTATCTACTGGCTCTAATTGTCCTTCCTCTAATGCCCAGGCTCCAGTGATTGCTGTCCTGGGCTCTGGTGGGGGGCTGCGGGCCCACATCGCTTGTCTTGGGGTACTGAGTGAGATGAAAGAACTTGGCCTGTTGGATGCTGTCACATACCTTGCAGGGGTCTCCGGGTCTACTTGGTAAGTGTTGTGTGTGGGGACGGGAGGTGTACCATGTTTTTTGATATCAGAATGAGAGCATCTTCCTCCAGATACCAAATGCATGCTGTCTTTTGTTTTCCACTTTTTAAATGGACAGATGTGTATTTTATGTTGTATGCTGTAATATTTCCGTATATGGACTGGTTGTGCACTGATGTATTTTCCCTTTTCTTGGTGTAACAAAATACCCGACAAAAGCAACTGAGCAAAGGAAAGGTTTCCCTTGGTTCTCAGCTTGAAAGCCTTGTGTGTCATGGCATTAAGGGCACTTTGTGAAGCAGAGAGGGAGGTGTGCTGGTGCTCAGCTGAGCGTCATCTGGGTCCAGCATGGGGAATGGTGTGACCACATGAGGGTGTGTCTTCTCATCTCATTTAAATGTCTCTGTAAACACCTTCACAGACTCACTCTCAGATTTACTGCTGCATGTGAGGGTGTTGGGCTGTGCATATTCCTATGGAGGCCTGTGGTGACCAGAGCAAGGCAGCTATCAAGTGTCCTCTGTTGGTCCTACATTATTGCTGTGAGATATGGCTTCGTACTGAGTCTAAAGCGCACAGTTTTGGCTAGGCTGACTGTAGGATCCACCATCTCTGCTCTCCAGTGCTAGTGGTGCAGGCATGTTCATCCATGCCTGCCTTTTAAAATTATTAATTAAATGTATTCATATTTTACATCCTGATAGCAGTTTCCCCTCCTTCCTCTCCTCCCATTCTCTTCCCCCCTTCTCCGTGGGACCAGAGGTAGCAGTGGCAGAGACAGAATAGAAGTGAGAAAAGGAATAGGATTGAGAAATGGAGCATTTACAGGTGGGTGGGTGGAGTATTGCCTAGCAAAAGGAAAAACGTATGGGTGTGAGATGCTGGTGGGACATAGCTTAGCATGAATGGATAGAAACTTTCTAATCTGTCTGTTTGCTGGAGTTAGAAAGCTCCCAGTTTAGGGTGTTATTTAATGGGGTACGTGGGCCATTTGTTAGTGCAAAGGCAGGTAATGTTAGAAATCTGTAAATAAGGCAGCTGTTTTAGGGTCTGTAAAAGACATACCTGCACTGAGGTTGGACAGCTGGTATTTTCCATTGCCTAGGACACGAGAGAAAGACGAGACCCAAAGGCTAGCTGTCTGCAAACTCTGTTTTCGAGATAGAGCGAGGGTTGAGTGATAGGTCAGGTCACCCTAAGGCTTGTCAGCTCAAAGGGTGGGGACCGGGGCCACCCAAGTGGCCGAGTGACTGCAGTCCGTGATGGGAAACAAGATTCCAGTCCTCAGCTGTGGGGAATAACCAGAGATAAATGTCAATGTCGGTGAAAGCTGGCTTGGAGAAGGAGACCTTACCATGTGCAGCAATGGAGCAGGCACAGGAAGTTGGAAAGTGGTCCAGGTCTAGGGTCCCTGCATGCCTCAGGCCACCTGGCTGAGTTACAAACCATTGTTATCATTCATGATGCAGGTGACCCAAGGCTGGTCCCATGTGGGTCGGTGGCAAGTGACCCAAAGCCATGCCACGCGGGTGGGAGACAGACAGATAAGTCATACAGAGAGAATTGGGTATAGAGTTTATTTAGGAAGTATTGGGAATGATATAAGAGTAAGGGGTTATGGATGGGGGAAGAAGGGGAGAGAGAAAAGGAGAGGAAGAGAGAGAAAGAAAAGAAAGAAAGGAGAGACGCAGAAGCTGCTACCCCATTTCTAGCATTTTCAAGTTCAAGGGCTGTGTTTACACTTTAGGTGGGTGGACTACAGCCCTTTTTTATTCTTTGGTCTTTATGAGAGATTTTTGTGTTAAATCTATGTAGACTTTCTTATCCAAAGGGCTCAGAAGCACTCATGCCTGACAAGCTGATTCCAAGCCAAAGGCAGGCATTGTTTTATTTATTTCTTTATTAACTTATAAAATAATCTGATTTTACATACCAATCCCCAGTTCTGTCTCCCTCCGGTCCTTCTGCTCCCCCCATTTTCTCCCAACTCCACCCCAATCCAGTTTTCAGAGAGGGTGAGAACTCCCCTGGGGAATCAACAAAGTAGGCCAGGTATTGTTAATCAATTTTGGCACCTCCTGATTCCAAGCCCAGGGCAGACATTGTTAATCAGTTTTGACATCTGTTGATTCAAGCCCGGGGCAGATGTTGTTATTCAGTGTTGGTACCTTTCCAGTAACAGATTAAGCTACACAAGCTTTTGGATGGCACAGAGAATGAGTGGTAGGTGGAGATGAAGCACTTGTTGGATTAGTTATTTTTCTCATTGTTGTGGTAAATAGTCAACAAAAGTAATTTAAGGAAGGGTTTGTTTGACTCATTTTGAAGGAATATGATCCATTATGGTATGGAAGGCACATTTTTTGACACAGCAATGAGGGAAAATACCTGATAAATTGGGCTGGATACTTGGATCAGTGGTTAGGAACACTTGCTGCTCAGTCATGAGAACTGAAGTTTGGGTCCCACCTCAGGAGGTTCACAACACCCATCTAGCTGCAGAAGATGACACTCTCCTAGTTTCCGTGGGCACCCCCACACACATGTGTGCATGCAGATACATACACATGCACACACACACACAGACACACAATAACATAAATAAAATGCACTTGACAAATGTGACTTGAGGAAATTAAGGTTCATTGTGTTGCCATGGGCACTTGGATATGTATCTGCATTCTTGTACGTGCAGTGACATACATAAACATAGATGCACATTCTTAAAAGTATTAAAAAATTCTGACTGAACTAGCCAGTATTGAGTTTCCTTATAGGAACTGGTAAGGAGTTTTCCTTTGAAAACCTTTCTCCATCTAGGCATGTTCTCAGCTTGTTCATCTAATATCAGGTAAAGAAAGTAAAAAGCAGGAAGATGGTAGGAGAACAAATCCAGTTCCCTTTCAATACCTGTGTGATGCTGAGAAAGAGCTTAGCTTCTTTCTGCTTCTCTAAACTGAGAATGATCCTTTTGAGGGCTAATTATGAAGACGATTGTGTGGTTGGTTTCTTTGACAACTTTAGGTGAACCATAGTCATCAGGGAAGAGGGAACCTCAATTGAGAAATTGTCTCCATCAGATTGGCATGTAGACAAGACTGTGAGTGCATTTTCTTGATTAATGTTTGATATGTGAGGACTTAGCCTACTGCAGGCAGTGCTACCTGTTGGGAGAGAATTCTTCACACTGTTGCCCTGCTGTGCCAATAATGCCACCTTGAATCAAGGATAGAGCCAGCAATTGACTGACTGGGATTAGTCATAGAGCTGTTGGAAGACTGAGGAAGTCGGGGGAAAAAGAGAGGGACAGGAAGAGAGAAGCATTGGGATGAGGGGGAATTCTGGGGCTTTTGGATCAGGAAAATGTGACCAGCAGGGTCTGATGTGGGATTTCCCTTTGTATGCTATCAATATGTTTTATTGCCATTTGTTAATAAAGAAGCTGCTTTCAGCCAATGACATAACAGAATATAGCAAGGCTGGAAAAGATATATATAGAGAGAGTAGGTGGAGTCAGAGAGAAGCCATGTAGCTGCCACAGGAGACAGAGGCCTCTGCTAGAGCCTGCTGAAACTTTGTCAGTAGGCCATGACCTCGTGGTGATGCACAGATTAGTGGAGATTGGTTAGTTTAGGATATAAGAGCTAGCTAGCAATACATTTAAGCTATTGGACAAACAGTATTGCAAATAATATAGTTTTTGTATGGTTATTTTGAGTTTGGGCAGCTGGGAATGAATGAACAGCCTCCGACCACAAGGGTCAGTATTCCACTAGTAATACTTTAGGTAAATGCTACAGCCATCCTTAGGCTGGTGGTCCTGGGTTGTATAAGAAAGCAGTCTGATTGTTCGCCATGTTCAGAGAGTCCGGTTTTATCCCATGCTTTTTCAGTCACAGTCCAGCTGGCCTTGGTGAGCTCCCAATAGATCAGCCCCACTGTCTCAGTGAGTGGGTGCACCCCTCGTGGTCCCGACTTCTTTGCTCATGTTCTCCCTCCTTCTGCTCCTCATTTGGACCTTGGGGGAGAGGAGTAAGGGGAGGGGGAGAAGGGTGGGAGGAGGGGGAGAAGGGTGGGAGGAGGGGGAGAAGGGTGGGAGGAGGGGGAGGGAAATGGGAGGCTGGGAGGAGGTGGAAACTTGTTTTTTTTTTTCCTTTTCTCAATAAAAAAAAAAAAAGAAAGCAGTCTGAGAAAGCCATCGATCCAAAATTCCTCCATGAACTCTTCATCAGTTCCTGCCCTACCAGATTTCCTGCTTTGACTTCCCTCAGTGATGAAGTATTATTTAGCCTGTAAGCCAAATAAACCCTTTCCTCTGAAAGTTGGTTTGGGTCAGCATTTTATCACAGCAATAGAAACCAAATGAGGTGTAACAGTCACATACTTGATAGATGTTCATCTGAAACAAATACTACTATTTGCCTGTCATATGTAGGATTGGGATCCAGAGGAACATGAGATGGACTGTGGGGGTTAAAACTTTATTAGAAGTTACTATTTAGTTACTTGTCTGTTGCTGTAATAAAACATGATGGCCAAAGTGACTGTATAAGGAAGAGTTTATTTGGGCTCATGGCTGTAAAGGGGAGTCTGTAGTGGTAGGAGAGGCATAGCAGCAGGAAGTTGGAGCAAGACGTTGAGATTACATCTTCTGTGCAAGCAGAAACCAGAGAGCATGAACTGAAAATATGGTGAAGCGGTGAACTCTCAAAGCTCACCCTCAGTGATGTATTTTACAGCAAGTTTCTACCTCCTGAAAGTTCCAATACCTTCCCAAACAGTGCCACCAACTGGGGACCAAGTTCAAACACATGAATCTATAAAAGACATTCTCATTCAAACCACCAGTTATTAATGCCATCAACACATAGATAACAACAGAGTTCAGTGTTCAGCAATGAGACAGACAACATGGTGGGGGCTCTGATAGGAGTCAGGACTAACATGGTAGAGTCCTTTTTATAGGTCTCAGAGGTAGGTTTCAGCATGATGCTGCAGTCAGTCTCTCTGATTTCCCATCATGGAAGCAGTTGGGGGAGCAGGATGTGTATCTGTCTGTACCCTCTTTGATGTAAACTTATTTCCCCAGGTTAGAGGTCCTGGTATTTGGGAATATGTTAACTAGATCTTCATAGACTATGATCTTAGTAGGCGCATGACTGTGTCATCTGTATGATGGGCAGGGTAGCAGTCTAGCCTGGAGTCTGACATTAAACTATGATGTATTTCTTCTATCTTGCTCTCACTGTCCTGTCTATTGAATGAAAGAATCATACCACACATACTTCATATGCGTGAGTGTTCCATGGACTCTCATCCTTGTTTGCATACTTAATTTCTGTTATGACAGTTAATCATTCTTCCCCTGGCTTGTTACATGATAGAGACAGTCAGGGTTAATGGCATTTTGGGGTCACTATTCTGATCCTCAGTTCATTTCTTCTCTCTGTCCCCAGGGCGTTGTCTTCATTCTACAACAACAATGGAAATATGGAAGGGATGGAAGAGGAGCTGAAACAGCGATATGAGGAGAGTACCTGGCACTTTGGAGAGAACTTGGAGAAAGCCATACAGGCATCAAAGAAAAAGAATTACTCCTTGACTGACTTTTGGGCCTATTTTGTTGTTTCCAGGCAAACCAGAGAAGTAAGTCACTCCTAGTAGAGGACATGGGGTCCCAAAAGACTTCACCAATATCTTCTTTCAGCTCTTCCAAATCTGCTCACTCGGAACTTCTACCTCAAGACTAAAAATATGCCAGGGTTGATTGTTTGGAAGTAGAAGAATCAGACTCTGAGTGGTTTGTGCAGTAAAGTGAGTAGAAATTATGAGGACCATAGAAACATCTAGAATCATCCAAATGCAAGAGGCTCCAAGGCACCTATTTTTTCTATCTCTGTCCTTGATCATTTCTTTTCTTGAATTTACTTTTCTATGCTTGTATTCATATTTTATTCTTTACCCCAGAAAGACTGGAGTTTTCTACCTCTCTGTGTTCTTAGTTAGAAGAGTTTTCCCCAGGCCCAGAGTGCCATTGTGGTCACCTCCAGACCCTCTAGTCAGCAGGCTCTAGGATCCATCCCCAGGCTGTCTGTGCATATCACCTGTGCTCTATTCAGGGCAGATGGCTACCACGATCCAAATGTCTGTGACTTGCAGGGTGAACTCATCATGGGAGAGTCAGGATGACAGTAGGAACTCAGCCCCAAGAGTTCTTTCTCCAGTAGATTTCTTCTGGTTTTGTGGTTTGGTTGAGTTGGGTTGGTTGTGCCATTCTTAGAAATGAGAGGGACAGACACAGCTTGAACTGAGAGACAGGAATAAAAAGAGAGAAAATGGAAGTTTTGAATGATACTGTTAGAATTCCTACCAGACTGTGTTTCCTAGAGGAACAGATGCTATTTAGAACTGTTAAAATAGAAGAGGAACCCACAGTGTATTTGTTTTCTCCTCTTATCCCTCTTTTTCTCTCCCTCCTTCTTTTCCCTTTCTCACTGCCTTTCTGCCTCTCCTACCTTTCCCCCTCCTTTTCCTTAAAGTTATTTTTTGTTTTATTTGTATATGAGTGCCTGCATTTATGTATATGCATTGTATGCATGCACTGTACGTAGAGACCAGAAGAGGGCACTGTGTCCCTTAGAACTTGTGTTACAGACGCTTGTGAGCTGCCTCATGGGTGCTGGAAGCTGAACCCTGGTCCTCTGCAGGTGTTTTCAATCTTGGAGCTATCTTTCCAGTCCCCTCTCCGTCCTCTCTCTTTCCTGTACTGTAGTGATGAACTGCAGGCAGGCCTGCTTTTCATCCCACCCGACTTCCGCATGGCTAGCTTTACACCCGAAATAACAACACACAAATTGTATTCATTTAAACACTGCCTGGCCCATTAGTTCTAGCCTTTTATTTTTTTTTTTTTTTTTTTTTTTTTTTTTTTAATAATTTTTTTATTAAGAAAAGAAGAAAAAAAACATAAACAAAAAACAAGTTTCCACCTCCTCCCAGCCTCCCATCTCCCTCCCCCTCCTCCCACCCTTCTCCCCCTCCTCCCACCCTTCTACCCCTCCCCCCACTCCTCTCCCCCTCCCTCTCCAGTCCACAGAGCAGTCCAGGTTCCCTGCCCTGTGGCAAGTCCTAGGTCCTCCCCCCTCCGTCCATATCTAGGAAGGTGAACATTCAAACTGGCTAGGCTTCCACAAAGCCAGCACATTAAGTAGGATCAAAACCCCGTGCCATTGTCCTTGGCGTCTCATCAGCCCTCATTGTTCGCCATGTTCAGAGAGTCTGGCTTTATCCCATGCTTTTTCAGTCACAGTCCAGCTGGCCTTGGTGAGCTCCCAGTAGATCAGCTCCACTGTCTCAGTGGGTGGGTGCACGCCTCGTGGTCCCGACTTCTTTGCTCATGTTCTCCCTCCTTCTGCTCCTCATTGGGACCTTGGGAGCTCAGTCCAGTGCTCCAGTGTGGGTCTCTGTCTCTGTCTCCATCCATCACCAGATGAAGGTTCTATGATGATATGCAAGATATTCGTCAGTATTGCTCTCGGATAGGGTCATTTCAGGTTCCCAATCCTCAGCTACCCAAGGAACTAACTGGGAACCTCATGTTGGGCACTTGGGAGCCCCTCTAGGGTCAAATCTCTTGCTCACCCTAAAGTGGTTCCCTTAACTAAGAATTGTGGTTCCGTGCTCCCCTATCCACCTTTCCTTTATCCCAATTCTCCTGATTCCCCAAGTCCCCCCTCCTTCCCTTCTACCTTTTCTCTCCCCATCTCCCCTTACCCCCATCCCACCCCACCCCCAAGATCCTAATTTTCTCCCCGGCAATTGGGTCTAGGGCGCTGAGTCCGAGTAGCCGGGGCTCCCGGGGGGCAGCAGTTCCTTTGTTTCTGTGGCCTGCCTGCACCAAGCGGGGTAGGCGCTTTGTCTGCAAGCTGCCCAACCAGCACGGAGGCCTGATCTTTCGGCGCCAGGAGACCCAGCATTGGGGAGACCCAGCATTGGGAGAGCCAACATTGGGGAGAGACAGCGTTTGGTAGGCAAGGAGACCTAATCCGGTAAAAGAAGATCCATAGGGAGCATTTGGAAGAAGAGATGGGCCGACGTCAAGGCAAGAATTCGCCCAACAAGCTGAAAAGCAACATGAAGCTACCAGAAACAAGCGACCTCACAACGGGAGGACAAGAACCCCTTAATCAAGAGGAAGGAGAAAAGATTGACTTCATGAAAGTGATTGACACCCTTAAACAGCATCTAGCCTTTTATTAACTAACTCTCACATCTTGATTAACCCATTTCTAATAATCTGTGTAGCACCACGAAGTGGTGGCTTACTGGGAAGATTCTAACCTGCATCCATCTCAGAGAGGAGAGCTATGGCGTCTGCCTCACTGCCTTCTTCCTCCCAGCATTCTGCTCTGTCTACTCCACCCACCTAATTTTCTGCCCTATTAAAAGGCCAAGGCAGTCTCTTTATTAACCAATGAAAGTAATACATAGACAGATGACCCACCTACATCAGTGTACTTCTCTCTCACCCTCCCTCTCACAGTTTAACTTACTGTTTGTTTTTTTAAGACTTATGGGGGTATACCTGATATGTGCACAGTTGAACATACATATATATTTCAAACACATTTTGATGACTTTGGATACATGCCCTTACCTGTGAACTCTATCATGATCAAAGTGCTAAGTTCTTGTGTTCCTTTCTCTCTCTCTCTCTCTCTCTCTCTCTCTCTCTCTCTCTCTCTCTCTGTGTGTGTGTGTGTGTGTGTGTGTGTGTGATTTGTGAGACAGATGGTAATGGTTTGTATGACAACTATCCCCTTCAGTTATGCTAGGTGGCACAAGCCAGTCACATGATTCCACGTCTCTGAGGCATCTAAGATAGTAAAATCACAGAAATGAAGAACAGAATGGTGATGGTCAGCACCCTGAGAAAGAGACAAATGAGAACTGCTGCTCAAAGGGGATAAAATTCCTCCAGATGAATAGGGACATGATCTCTCTCTTCATTCTTGGCCTGTGGGACTGCTTTCCTCAGCAGTGGTCTCTCTGACTCTTCTCCAGTCTCATCCTTTGAGGTACCCCACTGTACTCTGTAGATGAGCGCTGTCTGTTTTCTACACTGAAGAATATGAACAGTGGACTGTCAAGATAGCTGCGGTCAAGCCTGAAGATCTAAGTTCAATCTTGGAACCCATGTGGTAGAAGGAGAACTGACTCCTTCATGTTGTCCTTGGATTTCCACACATGTGGAATGGGTTTCATAGATGAAGAAGGAAGAAAAAATGATTTCAGAACTAGGTGCACTATATGCAAAGATCCCACTGAGTTTGGGAAGAATAAATCATCCCCTTGTGCTTCTACCCCATTCAAACTGGGTACTTTTCTTCCATAGTTACAGAACTCTAACTTGTCCAGCATAAAGAAGCATGTGGAAGAAGGACTGCTTCCCTATCCAATCTTTGCAGCCATTGATGGTGACCTTCAGCCTGACTGGAGGATGAGAAAAACTCGGAGTAAGCAAAAAATTGAAGGGAGGGGAGGCAGCAAGGGAATGAAAGACACTGAACAGGGCTACGGATATAGCTGGTAGTAGAGTGTTTGCCTTGAATGCATGGGACTCTGGGTTCCATCTCCCCAAAAAGGCTTTGAGTGGAATGTATGGATGTTTCTTCCAGACTTCCCCATTGGGAGGTCCAGGAGCAAAAATGGGCTGTCAGGATAGAATAGTATGCTCAGCTCACAGAGAGCAAACAGGCCTCCCAGAAACTACCACACGAGCTATACTTGCATTGGGTGACAAAGGATGTTGAAATATGGGTGAAGTGAGGGACCCAGGTTGGAGATACAGTGGCATGACTCTTTACTGTCATTTTCTCCATGGCTCCAATAACTACCCCAGTGCTGCTGGCTTTCCTAATGTTCCATTTTTCTTTTCAGCCACAATCTTTGCCCTGGGATCAAGAACTCTTCACCAAATTTACTATATATAAAATGCATTTATTTGTTTGATGTGTTTGCCCCTATTTCTCAATATCTGTCAAGCCATATTCCAGGTGCTTGCTCACCCTAGCATCTTAAAGCTCGGAAATTCCTGAGGTCAATGCTCTATTTCTCTCGTCCCTGTCTGGGTCCTTGATCTTGTTTCGTTTTGGTTGTTTTCATAATTACTGTAACAAAAAGCAGCCCAGGAAAGAGAGAGTTTATTTGGCTGACAGTTCCATTATTTCGGGGAAGTCAAGAGCAGGGAGGAAATATGCAAATGTATCCTTATTTTCTTGCTTACTCTGGGCTAGCTTTCCCTCCCTTTATACTGATTCTGCCTAGAGAATACTGACACAATAGGCTTGAATTTCCCCATCTCAGTTAACAATCAAGAAAGACTCCCACAGACATTCCCATAGGCTAACCTGATCTATTACCCATTATGACTCCTGAACTTGGAGCCCATTTCCTATGGTGGGGTGCCTTGCTCAGTCTTGATACAAGGGTGAGGGACTTGCTTCAACTTGATGTACCAGGTTTTGTTGACTCTGCATGGGAGGCCTTACCCTTTCTGAGGAGTGGATGGCGGGGTGCTGAGGTGGGAGTGAGGTAAGGGAAAGTAGGAGGACAAGAGAGAGAGGAACTATGGTTGGTATTAGAAAAAAAGAATGCAAAAATGCCCCTCTTCTAGCAGGTATTCTGGACCATGCCAGGTTGAAAGTTGAAATTAATCAGCATAGTTCTTGTATGGTTTTTTCCACTACAGTGGGTAGAGGTGATCTCCTTTTCATAGACCTCCCCCATCAGCTCAGAGGTAAGGTTAATTTGGCTGTAACATCTGCCACTCCATTGATGACTAAGGTTGATTTGACTGATATTATTGGCTATCCAGGAGGTTCCTTCCTCTCTAACCACTCCATATGCCCCTCCTGAGCTGTACACTGGTTTGGAGAGGGTGGCCTTCCCTTGTAGAGGAAGACAGTTACTCAGTAAAGCATGTCTGAATAGCTGCACTCTTTACAAATATTCCCTAATGAACAATGAGACCTCTACTCCATGCCTTCTCTAACTCAACCTTCAACATCGCAACTGCTGTCTTCTCCACAATGTGGACCAAGTATCAGCATCTCTCTTGAGGACTCTTGTAATTATTTCCTTATCTGTCTTCCTAGACATTGTCATCTGTGCCTTCCATAGCTACTTGATGGAAATTACTAGAACAAACAGGATTATGTGAGTTTTATCCTTCTTGTAATAAGTAGTCACTCAGTCCACAGTGTCCCAGATAACCCCCATATCACAGTGTGTCTGGAATTTCCATCACCCCAACATTCTGACATCGCATCTGTGATGAATTTGAAGAGAAAGGTGGGTATGAGGCTTACGTTTGGGGAAGTAATGGACGCAAGGTTTTTGAAATAATGAATTGTTTCCATCTGAATAGGCTTTCAGAGGCATGGGGAAGAGATCCCCAAATATTTGATATCAGCCAGCCCATCTCTAGTCTCTTGGTTAGCATTCCTTTCTCTATGGCATCCCTTCCTCCAGCACCTATGTTCCAGGTTCAGAGTTTACTCTTGTTTTGCCTCCCCAGAGTCCTGGTTCGAATTCACACCTCATCATGCTGGCTACCCTGCACTTGGGGCTTACGTCCCCATCACGCAGTTTGGAAGCAGATTTAAGAATGGAAAATTGGTTAGAACTGAGCCTGAGGGAGACTTGAATTACCTGAGAGGTCAGTATTGGGATTAGATGGAATTCAGTGGAGGTGGGGAGTAGATGTTGGGCAAGAATGACCTCTCTGAGTACCTAGCTCTGCTAGGCTTCTTTATTGCTAGGAGAAAAGGAGAGGTCTTGGGGTTTCCAGAGGATGGCCTTCAGCATCTCCCAGGGACTCCCTTGCTGACGGATAGATACCTGATTGCTTTCTAAATGGTCCACGAGGCACCTGAATCCAAGGTTACATGATAAGCAGGTTTAGAGTGTGGGTATGGGATTTATATGTGACCTCACAAATGAAGCATTCAACACTGTGCCCAGAGTATGGTAGAAATTCAAAGATAATTAAATCTCTATTTATTCAGTAAATTATTTTTGTTGTTTTAAATTGGGTCTCATGTATCCCATTTTGGCCTTGAACTGACTATGTGGCTGAGGCTAGTCTTGAATTCTTACTTCTTCTGTATCCATCTCCCTGATGTGGAGTCCCCTCTGTGTGCTGTGATTACCATAAATGAATGAAGAAACTGCCTTGGCCTGTTGATAGGGCAGAACTTAGGTAGGCAGGGAAGACAGAGCTGAATGCTGGGAGAAAGAAGGGCAGAGTCAGGGGATGCCATGGATCCACTGCCAGAGATAGACATGCTAGAACTTTGCTGGTAGGCCACAACCTCGTGGTGATACACAGATTAATAGAAATGGGTTAAAGTAAGATGTAAGAGCTAACTAAAAAGAAGCTAGAGCTAATGGGCCAAGCAGTGATTTAATTAATACAGTTTCTGTGTGATTATTTCAGCTCTGGGTGGCCGGGACGAACAAGTGGTCTCTCCTTGCAACATCTCCCAAATGCTAGAATTATAGGTGTGCACTGCCCTGTCTGGTCAACATATAATTTTGAGATATACTGTGAAGTCCGTCCTGGATGCCTCCTTCTGCATAGAAACAGAGCTGAGATTGTTGTTTTACTTCACCTTATCCTCCAATGAAAATGGCCCTCTAACCGTCTAGTCACTGAATTAGGGCCTTTTGATGTCATCTCTGCATCTTATATATTTCTAATCTGGATATAAATCATCTACATTCCATTTCCAGGTTTTTAGACTCCATTTATACCCCTTCCTTCCCACCAACAACAGCATCCCACACCTAAGCTATCTGACACTAGAACTGCTAACCCCTCAGCTGTTCCCCACATTCCCATTCTGCTTCTGTCGATTATAGGCAACAGGATTCATGTGTAATGGAACCTTATTGATTCACTTTAATTACAGGAAGTCTTAGTCTTATTTCTCTTTTCTTTCCAGGTTTATGGGGAAGTGCTATAGCTGATAGAGAAGAAATTAAGAAATTTATTTGTGGTGAGTATTTTCAGTTTCCTTCATGTGACAGCAGAGGAGACTACTGTCATTGTGCCTATAATTATATTTCCTAATGCTAGTGCTTCCTCTCAAGCCACCATTGGGGCATCCAGGACTGCTGCAGAGTGGCTGGGTGTGGGCTGCCTGGGCAACAGTGGTGCTTAGTTACATGTGACCTCCGTTTTCCACCTTGCTCTATCTACACCACATAGATGACGATAACAGTATTTGTAAGGATTTAGAGAGTGAATTTCTCTAAAGTATTAAGGATGGAGCCTGGTAGGTAAAAGCACTGGGTAACAATAGCAGTTATTATCTGTTCTATTATATTATCCTTACCACAACCCAAAGGACTGGATGCTAAAATCACCTGAATTTAAAATTTTGTTTATTTTTGCCAGGTATAGTGGTAACACTTTAATCCCAGCATTTGGGAGGCAGAGATAGGAGTTATTTGTGAGTTGGAGGCCAGTCTGGTTTCCATAGAAAGTTCCAGGGCAACCAGGACTACATAGAGAGACCCTATCTTAACATTTTATTTATTTTGTGTACATGGATCTTTTGTCTGTATGTGCCTGGTGGCTGCAGAGGCTAGATAAGGGCATTGGATTCCCTGGAACTGGAGTTATACATGGTTGAGAAATGTTATGTGTGTACTGGGTATTGTGTCTGAGTCCTCTGGATAAGCCAGCAGTACTCTTAACCACTGAATCATCTTCCCAACCTTCAACTTTAATTTTTTTGAGAGCCATGGAGTCATAAGAATGCTGAGTTACTTGTGTATTCTCACTGTCAAGTGAGCACTGATGTAGGAATGAATGGTGTTACATCACAGCTCTGAGCAGTATGTTAATATGCTCTGGCCAACCAACTGCTCCGTGACACTATACCTCCTGTAACTGAGACAGAAGTACCCACCCCAGCCTTTTGGAGATGACTTTTAAATGATCTAGAGGCTAAAGTTGGAGGTGAAGTCATGTTTCATTTCCTTAGTGGGTATACTAGGCTTGCTCTCTGGTGAAGAAGCCTTGATTTATAGTGGTATGTATTGTCCCATCCAATTTCAAGTTACCAATATGGGTTCACTGGAGGTAGAGTTGGAAGGGAGGCATGGAGTTAGGTCTTGAGAGTCATTATCAGCAAAGTTCCAGCCTGCTGTGGCCAATAGTATAAAGGAATAGCCCTAGAGAAACTTGCCTTGGACACACTCAACACCAGGACTGGTGGTGCATGCCTGTGATCCCAGCACTTTGGAGGTGGAGGCAGGAGAATCAGGAGTTCTAGGTCATCTTCAACTATGAAGGGAGTTTGAGATCAATCTGGGCAATATGAGACCCTGTCTTCGAAAACTGAAAAAAAATATACTCAACACCATAGCCAGTGACTGCATTGTACAGATAAACATTCTACATTTTTACCTTCTTGCAGACATGTTAGCAGACCTGAGAGCAAAATTGAACCAGGGACATTTGTTTATGGCAGGTAAGCACCCTGCTGTGTTCTGAATCACTGATGAGGACATGGATGAGACGCTGAACAAGCCAGCCACAGATTGTGCAGAATGTCATGGTTATGCTGATAGTCACCTTGTGAAGTGCTATTCTTACCTCGTCTGCTCACCTGTGCTCTCTGTGTGCGTGTGTGATGCATGTACATGTGCTGTGCATGTGTGTGGAAGCCAGAAGGTGATGTCTGGTGCCATATGCTATCACTCTCTACCTTATGTGAACATGGAATTTCTTAACTGGCTAGACTGACTGGCCAACAAACCTCTAGGATGCTCCCATCTCCGCCGTCATTGCTGATCACAGGTGTGTGCCCCTTTGCCTGACTTTAAGTGGCTGTTGGGGATCTGAGCTCAGGTCCTCATGCTTGAGTAGCAAGTGTTTTACTGATGGAGTCATCTCCCTACCCCCACTCAGGAGATTTTTGACAGATGAGGCAACTGAGGATGGGGAGACAGAGAAACCACAGCTGGAAGCGTGTGTCTGTGTGTGTGTGTCTGTGTGTTCCTTACTCTTCCAGTAATTGTAAAGAGGTAATAAGGGAGGGTAAGAAGCCTTATCAAGAGGACTCATGCCTCTGTGCTACATGGAACAAGGGAGGTGGGCTTCTGTTCTGTACTTTCCATTTGTCAGCCAAGGTGGGCCTGGGAGGAACATCTAGGTTCGTGAATTTCATGTGGGAGTTTTCTAAGGAAAACACATGGAAGCTGGGTTGGTTGTACACAGCAGTGTCGGGAATGGGGTGACAAAGAGACTTTTATGGGGACAGGCAGTGATGGTCTCTCCACACTCTCATGGGAGGCTACTTTTATCTCTGAGCAGCGCCTAGATCAGCAGCTGAAGCAGCGGCATACATGGGAGCACCAGAGACACAGGTGGATGAAGTGCTCTTGGATTTAATCATGGCTTTTCTTAAAGATCAGAATGACCCCAGCATCAAGGATAAGCTCCAGGCCCTGCAGCAGGTTCTGGGTGCTGAGAGAGGTTTGTGCATGAGCTCACACTTGCAAACTACTGTGTGGATGCTAAGGGATCAGAGAGCGTGAGGGAAGCAGGGGGTTGACACACAGCCAGGTGGCTCACCGTGGAGATGTTGCCCTCTTTTCTCCTTCTCCCTCCCACCCCCTGTAAGTGACTGTGTGTGCAACTAAGCTCTGCTGCCTGATATTTCCTGAGCTTTCATAGACTTCTCTGAAGGATGGAATGCTTTCTCTCAGAGCAAATTGCTCTACAGCACAGTCACATTCAGGTCGCCACAAGAGATGAGAAGGAGTAGGCTAAACAGTGACTCTCAAGAGATGGCACAGGTCTGTCCTGAAGCGGGTAATCAATTGGGTTTCTTGTGGCAGATGTGTTTGGTGAACAGAAGTACTTCTGGCTGATTGAGGCGGTCCAGAATTGGAATGAGATCTCTCCCAAGGAGAAGGAGCAGTTTCTTGAATATCTGTTGTACTGCTTCATGAGGACAAAAGCGCTTCCTTTGGGTCCCAGGTCTAGACCAACAAACTGGATCGGGAGTAAGTGCCAGCACTATCAGCCTCCTCCTGTCTTCCCCACTAGTATCTGTCACATTTTCTTATCCCTGTGACAAATTATCTGGCACAAGCAACTTAGAGTGGTTTATTTTGACTCAAAGTTGAAGGAGATACTGTCCATCAAAAAGAGTGTCACATTGCCCTACAGTCAGAAGGCAGAGAGAGAGACAGAGACAGACAGAGGAGAGACAGGAGAGACAAAGGAGAGCAGAGAGAGAAAAAAGAGAGAGGAGAGTCACATACAGAGAGATATACATAGAGACACACAGAGACACATATGGAGATAGAGAAACAGGGACACGGAGAGAGAGAGACTGTTTAAAGACATACTGTCCACCATGGCAGAAGAGTATAAGGCAGCTGGTCCCATTGCCTCATAGTCAGGAAGGAGAGAGAGAGAGACAGAGTGAGAGAGACAGAGATATAAGAGAGACAGGGAGCGAGACATAGAGAGACACAAAGACAGAGACAGACAGACACACACATATAGAGACAGAGACAGAGAGATAGTTTAAGGAGATACTGTCCACCATGGCAAAAGGAGTTTGAGGTAGCTGGTCACATTGCCCACAGTAAAGAAGCAGAGAAAGAGAGAGACAAAAGAAACAGAGAGACACAGAGATAGATAGACAGAGGGAGAGACAGAGTGAGACATAAAGACAGAGACATAGAGACAGAGATGAGACACACAGAGAGACACCGAGATACAGAAAGAGAGACAGAGAGACAGGGCAAGATGGAAAGAGAGACAGGGAGAGACAGAGAGACAGAGTTGGAGTGAGAGACATAGAGAGGGAGAAAGATAGAGGGAGAAAAGAGAGAGGGAAAGAGAGACAGAGACAGAAGGAGAGTGAGAGACAGAAAGAGACACATATAGAGAGAAAAACAGAGGAAGAGAAAGAGAGAGAGATGCTGGTGTTCAGTTCACTTTTTTCTCTTTTTTTCAATTGGGGACCCAAGCCCTGGGACATTGCCATCTACTATAAGGTAGGACTTCCCTACTCAAACCCTGTGTCACATTGAAGGTCAGTGCTTCACCATAGGACTTTAGAGGAGTGCCAACCCATGCCAGCCCATGATACTTAATTTCTACTTTTCCATTTCTGCATCTAGGTTATTTCCAGGACACTTTTACTTTTCTGTGTAAAACTGCAATTTGTTGTTTGAAGTGGGAGTGGGGAACTGTTTACAACTTCCTCTATAAAAACGGTGAGAATGCGCCCCTTTCTGCCTTCCTATTCTCTAATGGGCTGTGGTGAGCTATGGAGGATGAGGGCCATGAAGTGATCTCAGCTCATCCCTTTCGTGGAGCTGTGGGGGTGGGGATGGCATGGTGCTCAATGATGTGTGTGGCAGAGCCCCTCCATGGTAGTGGTTCCTAACAAGAGACACATAGTCTTTCTGGTGTCAATAGAAGGCATAGTAAGGCCCCTGAAATAGTGGTGCTTTCCTCTGATTCTAAAAATACGTAGACATTCACCATAGGTTATCCTTTCATGATCTGCCCTCCATCATTCAGACAGAATATACACTGGCCTGTGGGATACTCTTAGGTCTCTGTATATCTTTTATAAACTTCTGTCATCTTGCTCTATGAATGACTTTCTTCCAAGACTATGCCAATTCCCAAACATTAACCACTCTTCCGTGATGAGACTGCCTACCACCAACATCTTGTGCCTTGATGCCTTTGTAGTTTGAGAAAAGGTAATTTCCCTAGGAAGATAAGCTTCACAATGTTATTAGCTTGGTCAGCACCATACATGCCTTGAGAAGTTGTATCATTCTATTTTCATTGGTTATAACAAAATACCCCAGGCCATGTACTTTATAAAGAAAACAGTTTTATTTAACTCATAGCATTAGAAGATGAAAGTCCAAATGAGGTGGCGCCATCTGTTCACCCTCTGGTTTGGGTGTTCCTGGTTGCAATATAATGTAATGGAGAAGCCATGTGTAGAAGGGACATAGTCACAGATGGATGGGTATCATTGTATAAGTACTTTGCTCTCTCCAGAACTAATAATTTACAGCCACACAAATCCCTTCCAAGGCTGATGTCTCCACCTCCAAATTGGTCTGTCCTTTAAAAGGTTCCTCCACATCAGCACCTCACACTGCAGACCAGTCTTCCTGGGCATGAGTCTCTGAGGAGCACACTCAAACCACGTTTAGACAACAGCAGAAGTGAACCCTACTGGAATGGGTCTCCACTCACCTGTCTGAGACAACAGTTCTGTCTGCTCAAACTGCTTCCTATACCCTACATTCTGACCTTAGATTAAACAAGTCTTTTCCTGGTTTTAGGTAACATCACAGATGAGGCCATGCAGAGCCGGGAGTTTCTACATCTGGTGGATGCTGGTTTGGCTATCAATACTCCCTACCCGCTTGTTTTGCCTCCAGCTCGTAAAGCTCACCTCATCCTCTCGTTTGACTTCAGTGCTGGAGATCCACTAGAGGTAACTGAAAAGAAACTTATGTATTTGAGGGAAGAAGATGAGCTGGCCCGGACAGAGATGGGGCAGTGCAGGAAGGAACTCAGGGTCTGCTTGGGGAGTGGACATTGAGCAATTGTTGTCTGGGGCACTATGGCATGTACACCCCACATCATGCATAGACACGCATAATGATCACACTTTTAAAACCTTGTTGACTGGCAAGATGACTCAGCAGATAAAGGTACTTGCTGCCAACCTGAGTTCCATCCTCCAGACCCATGTGGTGGATCTCATAAGTTGTCCTCTGATGCTACACACACACTGTAGCAATACATGCACACACCTGCGTGTGTGCACACATACACACACATGCACACAAAATAAGTATATATATATATAAGTTTATATATCTTGTCTTTAAAATATACACACTTATATAATATGGATTTGTACCTCTTATGCAATGCATACAGAAATATAAAAGTATACTTGTGTTTATTAAAAGTTAGATCATCAAGCTTGGTGGCAAATGCCTTTACCTGCTTAGCCTCGATGCTGGTGGGTAAAGATTTATATTTCACACTTACGTTGGGTTTTTTTTTTTGGCTGTGATAATTGGATCTGGAATGTACCCCAGAAGTTAAGAACTTCTGCCCCATGTGTTTGAACTTGATCCTTAGGGTGTTGTGATTGGGGAGTGTCAGAACATTGAGGAGATGTGCCTAGTGCAGGTCTTAACCTTCCCAATGCTGTGACCTTTTAATACAGTTCCTCATGCTGTGGTGATTCCCAACCACAAAATTATTTTTGTTGTTAGGTTATAACTGAAATGTTGCTACAGTTATGCGTCCTATTGTAAATATCTGTGTTTTCCGATGATTTTAGGTGACTCCATGTGAAAGTGTCATTCACCCCCTAAAGTGTTGATAACCACGGGTTGAGAAACCCTGGCCTAGGGGGAAGTCCCTAGTTGACTGGGTGCATGCTCTCAAAGGACAGCTATCTATCTGCCTTGTGAGATGAGCACTTTTGCTCTGTCATTCTCTCTCACCATGTGGCCAAGTGATCATGGCTTGGAAACTCCAAGCCTTGAGCCCAAACCAACCTTTTCTCTTTGTAAGCTGATTGTCTTGGGTATTTGCTACAGTAATGGGAAGTGGACTGGCTGACTTCCATGGTAATCATTAGGCTATTTAAAAGCACTTGCATGGCTGACTTTCCATTTCTGTTAGCCAGTAATGGAAACTGGCTTTGTCTGTCACCATCCATCCCTCCTTGGGAGGTAGAGGTTCAAGAGTCTCTCAGGGAGGAAATGAGATTAACTGGCTCCAAATATGTGTAGGTGACCCCTCATCTGAGTACATTGTTCTTCATACAGAACCCTAAAGTTATTCTCAAGCCTTCAAGAAACTATTCATTGACCCACAGTGAGTGAGAGATGTCTTCTGTACAAAACCAAACCCAAAACAACCATGCACTTTCCAGCCTCCTCCTGAGGTCTTTGCTGAAGTCCCAGTGTGTCTCAAGGGTCCCTATTCTCCCCTTCTCAGACCGTCAGGACCACAGCGGACTACTGCCAACGCTATGGAATCACTTTTCCTCAAGTGAGAGAGGATCAGCTAAAGGAGTGGGCCAAAGCCCCAGAGAGCTGCTACATCCTCAGGGGGGAAACTGGACCTGTTGTCATGCATTTTACTCTGTTCAACAAGAACAACTGTGGAGGTAGGTGTGGGAGGAAGAACAGGGTAAGGAGCCATGGGATTCTGGCTGGCTGGGGCTATATTTTAGGGATGCCTAGTCCACACTTCAACATCTAAAACTCATCCTGTCCACCGTGGGGCCTCCAAAAGGGCATCATGCTTTCTGTTTCTCTCTTTGACATTTATGTCTGTTTCCTCCTTTTGTTGGGACATTCATGTCCACATTTATTATCCGGTCCTAGGTAAACAGTCCTAGGTGAACAGTCCTAGGAGGGTCTCAGCATTTAGCACTGTGCTTGGCAGTCTCAGCACTGCTGTTTATCACACTGAGTCCCTGGAGCTCTCTGCCACGCTGCCTATAGAGTGGGATTCCCTTGGAGGGATAACGTAGAGAGCCTGTCTTTTCTCTTTCTGTACATTGTGTCTCCCTATTATTGCCAAAGCTGGCTTTGAGCTCAGGCTCCCCTTCCTTCAACCTTCCGAGTGCTGACTTGCACACATTGCTTTAACCTGTTCCTTTCTACTGGCCTTGGTTTTGTTTTAAAGATTTATTTTTGTTCTTTTTAGTTATGTCTATGTGTGTTTGCCTGTCTGTGCATGTGAGTGTAGATGCCCAAGGAGGATAGAAGCACTGGATCCTTTGGAGCTGGAGTTACAGATGGTTATGAATCACCTGACATGGGTTCTGCGTACTGAACTCCAGTCCTTTGAAAGAGCAGTCTGAGTTCTTCCTAGCCATTCCGCTGGCTCCTGTTAAATATTTCTAGGACAGAGTCTCACTGTGAAGTTTAGCATTAGCTCAAACTCATAATCTTCCTGCCTTGGTCTCCAAGTGTTACTATGATATGTATGCACTACCATACTCGTCTAGTGTATGTACTCTCTTGCTTCTTTTAATTTTTTGAAAAGATGTTTTATTTTTATTTTATGTGTATGGGTGTTTTTTCTGCATGTGCACCATGCATATGCGTATGCCTGGTGCCCAAGGAAGACAGAAGAGGGCATCAGATCTTCTGGAACTGAAGTTACAGATGGTGTGAGCCACCATGTGGGTGCTAGGAATTGAGCTCGTTTCCTCTGGAAGAGCAGTTATTACTCCTAATTGCTGAGCTATCTCTTCAGCCTTCTCTCTTTATTCTTTTAACAAATATTTATTAGTCACTTACATTAGCTGTCGTTCGGAGCAATACATATTAATATGAAAAAGGAGGCATTTTTCTTCTTTGTTCAGGTATGGAGGATAGATGGTAAAACAATGCTTCACTTTATAAAGCAATATACCAACACCTCTTTATTTATAAAGTCAAGTGTGCCAGCTGGATTTGGTCCACAAAAGTAGTTTACAAACTTCTTACATAAATGGGCACGATCCTAACTTGACAAATCTTTTTCTTGGTTTGGTTCTATTTCAGATGACATTGACACATGGAGAAAAAAATATGAGACAATGAAACCATCTTGTTTCTACACACCAGAACTTGTGGCAGATTTGCTGAGGGTGTCTAGGGAGAATGTTCGAATAAACAAGGATAATATCCTCAGTGAGATGAGGAAAGTGGCTGGGTGAGTATCAGGCTATATCAGCAGCTGTAACTGCCCTGATCTCTGAGGTGGCGCTAAGGAATATCTGTTGCAGAACTAACTTTCAGTACATCTGGTGGGAGGATTGTGGGTGTAGATGAAATTGAGCTCCTGCCTAGAACTCTTCCTATGAGGGCCTGGCGGTGTGACTCAAGGGTAGAGTCCCTGCCTAGAATCCCCAAGTGAGGGCTGGGGTGTGGCTCAGTGGTAGAGCCCCTGCCTAGAATCCCCCAGTGAGGGGCTGGGGTGTGGCTCAGTGGTTGAGTCCCTGCCTAGAATCCCCCAGTGAGGGGCTGGGGTGTGGCTCAGTGGTAGAGCCCCTGCCTAGAATCCCCCAGTGAGGGGCTGGGGTGTGGCTCAGTGGTAGAGCCCCTGCCTAGAATCCCCCAGTGAGGGGCTGGGGTGTGGCTCAGTGGTTGAGTCCCTGCCTAGAATCCCCCAGTGAGGGGCTGGGGTATGGTTCAGTGGTAGAGCCCCTGCCTAGAATCCCCCAGTGAGGGGCTGGGGTGTGGCCAGTGGTTGAGTCCCTGCCTAGAATCCCCCAGTGAGGGGCTGGGGTGTGGCTCAGTGGTAGAGCCCCTGCCTAGAATTCCCCAGTGAGGGGTCAGGTTGTAGCTCAGTGGTAGGGTACTTATTTAATTTATATGAGACCTGGGCTCCATCCTCTGCACTAAAAATAAAAATTTATGGCATGACAGAAACTGTTTCTTACCACCAGAGCTTGCGTGTGTGAAGGGGAGGAGATAGACAGTGAATAGTGCTGGAGCGAGTGACTTTCTGAAGCACAAAGCAGAGTAGACTGGGTTGCCATGGCTTCTGGGGCCTCCGTGGAGGCCAGATGGCTGAGGATTTTCTAATAAGCAAAGAGTATACACTAAATGACCACCCATCACAGTTCTTCACAACTGACATTGAGTCCCCAGTTACTGCCCCTGGATCCAGAAATGTCTGTCAGATGATATTCAGAGCTGCTTGTCATTCCACTCTCAGGAAAACTGGCAACTTGCCAAGGATGAATAAGGAGGACTTCTTGGGATACAGAGTGCAGAATGTCCAAAGCTCTCGGACTGTGGAGATTAAGATATCCAACAACACGGACATAATATTCAAGGAGCCCTTGTAAGTCTCATCCTTTTCTTGTTCTCCCAAGTCTTGTCCTAAGCCATCCCCATGCCCCATATCATATGTGATCATAGGACATCTGTGCAGGGACTTCCAGCTCAGAGACAAGGCTCAGTGTATGATGGCAGATCAGATAGGTGTAGCCAGTTTAAGTCTTAGCTTCCCGTTTGCAGCATAGGTGCTAATAGCATGCTTACATAAGTTTGCAAAGCTCTTACTTTAAGAAATTATTTGTTTAACTTATATGTATAAATATTTTGTCCCACACATATGCATGTGCGTTGTGTGTGCAGTGCCAGTAGAGGTTGGAAGAAGCCATCAGATCCTTTGGAACTGGAACTATAGATGATCGTGAGCTGCCGTGTGGGTGCTGGGAATTGAACCTGGGTCCTCTGAAAGAGTGGAAAATGCTCTTAACTGTCAAGCCATCGATCTTACTTTTAAAAATGTAGTATTTTTTTTTTACTTTTTCTTTGAGAAATATATATATTTGATAGCTTTCTACCATATTTACTCCCCCAAATCCCCTACAATTCTTCCCAGATGCCCCCAGGTCTCCTTCCAGACTTCATGTCCATTTTCTTAAAAATAACCCACTGAATTCATCTGGTGCTACCCACATATATGTGGGTGTTAGGTCATCCACCGGAGCTCGGACTGTAGACTTACTGGGATGACATAAGTCTATATAAAGAAAATAGGCTTTCTCTCCACAAGAAGCTATTAAATTTGTAAGTAGCTCCTCATGCAGGGTGTGAGATTCTGTGCCCCTCACCAACCCATCCGGGGCTGTGGACTGATCTTGTGCAGGTAAGCACAACTGCTGGGAGTGTGTGAGTACAGCGTTCCTGTCCAGGATGGTTTTATCTTTTGAGGACCTACTGCCCTTTCATCCTCACGTGGGTTTCATTTACATGGAAGGCTTGATGGTGGGACACTCCCCCCAGTGTGGGCACCATGTCATGCGGCAGAGATGAATGCAGTTTTTCGTAGCTGCCTATAGTCATAGGCAGTGATCTTGGTTTTCTTGTTATCAAGCCCTTGAGTGGTGCACAGGTGAATCAGGGTTGCAAAGCACAGGGAAAGAGTGCCAATTACGATGTCTGTGGGAACCACATGCAACGAATCTGGAGTAGAATGACTTTAACCTGTTGAATAAGTGGGAGAAAAGCCATTAGTGGTGGCTCAATGTGAAGAAACAGAAAACGCAGAATGAAATACGATGTGGATTCTGAGAGATCTAATATTTGATGTAGACTAAGTCATTAACTCCTGTTCTGGATCTGAACAGTTGTTCCTAGACTGACATCATTAGATAAACTAATACTTATACAATAAGCATGGGTGATGGGAACACTCCTTAGGCAGTGAAGCTGAGATTAAATGTAGGTATTCTTGTGGAATAAGATAAAATAAATGAAAAAAAATAAATTCCTTTGAACCATGCATGGTCTATAGAGGCCTCCAGATGTTCTGTTCTCTAACAAGCAAGGCCATCTTCTTAGAGCAATAGTGACCTGTAACTTCTCTTTCCTAGGCACTACTTACGGAGTGGGCATTTACTAGTGGACCCACCACCTGTGCTGTCTCCAAAGTCCACCATCAGCTGTTCCTTTGTGAAGAAGAGCTCCAGCTTCCAGGGCACTGTGGGCATGCTGATCTACCAGGGCCCAAGTGTCCACCTGGCCTTACTGTTCTCTATTCCTTTCAACTATGCGCTTCACAGAATTAAGTTTGCCTTAGCCATCATAACCGAGCCAGTCTCCAGAGACCTGGAGAGTGTTTTTGATGACATCATTCAGGGAAATGGGTCTCCAGAGCAAAAGGTAGCAAAGTATGAACTTCAGCTCCCTCAGGGGACCCTGAAGCTGGAACATGACTCCTTCATCATCAGAGCCACAATGTCCAACATCCATGTGGCTAAAATGGATGTAGTGGTTGAGACCAAAGCTGTTTAAAAGTTTCCTCCCTTCGTCCATAACTGCTCATTTTACACTTTGGTCAGATTGCTTGCCTCTGTAAAAGGAGAGATCTCATCTGAAATCATGGCCCATCTCTGCAGAGCCAAAAAACTCTGTAAACGCTTTCTGCTTGACTAACAGATTCATGATGCATTTCTTAGTCTCTTAGCACCCTGCTGTATCCTATGTCACCCTTGATGTATCCTTTATTCTTCATTCCCTGACATGCTGTGTGGCTTGCTTTCCATACTTTTCTCCCTCAATATCTTCCCTTCAGTCTGTTTTAGATAGGTGCCTTCCTTGGCTGTCTTGTCTGCTGCCTCAGCCCTCCTTTCTGCTTGCCTGTCTCCCTCCCACCTGTAAGTCCAAGGTCAAGCTCGATGACTCTGTATCTGATTTGGGCCTTGTTCCCACAGTTTACTCATTGTAAGAGCACAGGCAAGTCCTTTCACATGTGAGCCTCGCTTTCATCATCTGTGGAGTAGATAATTGTGTCTGTGTCCTGGGAGGCTCATGAATGAAGTCCTAAGACCCTAAGGGCAGCCCTGGTAAAGACAAAGTTTTCAAGAGGCAGTACTCATTATTTTTTCCCCAAGCCGATGTTTGTTTCTTTTGATTAAAAATTTTTTTCTTTTTTTTATTTTTTTATTTTTATTTTTTTATTTTTTAATTTATTTATTTATTAAAGATTTCTGTCTCTTCCCCGCCACTGCCTCCCATTTCCTTCTCCCTCCCCCAATTAAGTCCCCCCCCCTCAGCCCGAAAAGCAATCAGGGTTCCCTGTCCTGTGGGAAGTCCAAGGAACCCCCACTTCCATCCAGGTCTAGTAAGTTGAGCATCCAAATTGCCTAGGCTCCCACAAAGCCAGTGCGTGTTTACTTTTAGATGGCATACAAGATAATTGGGTTCATCATGGCTTTTTATAGACATAGGTAATTGTACTTTGTTAATACTTGTTCCCCATTACCTCCATTTGGCCCCACTTCCTTCTCACGTGGGTCTTCTTCCTCCCTCCAAATACTCCCCTCCTGCTCTTGTGTCATAGGTATGTGTGCATAAATATGTATTTTAACCTAAATTTTGCATATAAAAAAGACATGCCATATTTGTCTTTTCTTCTTTCCTAATTTCCTTCTTGTCCTTCATCTTTTTCGACCTTTTTTTTCCCACCAAATTGTCCCCCTTCTACTTCTACAACATATGTAATACCTAGATAAAGATAAGTAAAATAGGTAGATAGGTGATAGATGGTAGATACAAGGTATATAGATAAGATAATTAGCAGGTAGATACAAGGTAGATGGTTAAGATAGATGATAAATAGATGACAGGAGGAAGATAGTAGGCAGATAGCGAGATAGCTATTACACTTAGGAGGGAAATCATTATACTTGTCTTTTTGAGGCTGGGTTATTTTGCTTAATGTGATGGGCTCCAGGTTTGTCCATTTTCCTACAAACAATGTGACTTCACTCTTCCTGATGGCTCATTAAATGTTAAAGACTGCTACGAGTTGAATTGTTTATTTCTCCCCCAAAGTCAATGCCATACCTCATGTGCTTGTAGATATGACATTAAAAGGAAATTCAGAGTTTGCAGATGAGATTATTATGGCACAGATGTGGGTTCATGTGGGTCCGTGAAAAGAAGACACAGAGACACCTTAAGGCAGAAATCCTTAATAAATAAATAAATTTTAAAAAAAAGAAAATAAAAAAAAAAGAATGAATTTAGCCTTTTCCAGGACTGAACCACTTTCCCTTCACCCAGGGCTTTTTTTTTTTTGTTTGTTTGTTTGTTTTCCAGTTTTCACCTTAGCAAGTTGATTGCCATATCCTCAAAACATCCTGACAAATCTTCCAAAGGGACAATGCCAAGTGCAAATTCTTGATTAAGGAGGTACCAGGCTATGAGAATATGAAGGGAGAGGTTGCTATGATGTATACACGAGGCAAGGAATACCAAAAATGACTAATGAGTTATCATTTGTCACAATACCGACATTTGAGGTAAAAGGATCTGAGCTCAGAGTCCTGTGCTGCACTGTCCAAGTCTTGCTGTCTGCCAAGTTCAGTGAGGTTCTCAATCTTCCCTTCACTCTGTGAGCTTGACCCTTTGAAGGGTATGAGTAGTTGCTTTGGTAGTTTTGACAGTTGATCAAATTCAGGAAAATTATAAAAGTGATGGATGCTGTGTCAGGCAAAAAAAAAAATGTGTTCATGTGTGTGTGCATGGTAGCATGCACCTATTTATGGGCTTGAAGAGGCCAGAGGCGGATATCTGATATTCTGCTGTCTGGAGTGCTACGATTAAAGGTGTACATCATCACATCCTGGTTTAATCATTTCTTTAATTCCTTTTCACAGGTTGGAAATTTAGCTAGGTGGGATCTTGTCCTAGGTCACCATTCCCTTTATTCCATTTCTTGGTCTGTTTATCTCCTTGAACACAGAACTTAGTTCCATTCCACTTCATGGTTCTTTGTTTTCTCTCAGAGTGTTCCTTTCCATTATGCATCTTTATAAGCATGAGTACTAGTAACCACATGACGGAGTCTATCCTAGGCTGTTTTGAGATTTCCTCTGCCAATGGAACTAATTCATTTCACTTTAGCTTCAGATATACTGGACAGGGACAAAAAGCAGCTGCTTTCTTTGCTAAAATATCACAAAAATGATCTTTAGGCCACATATTAATATTATTTTCCTCTGAAACCTCTTGAGCCAGCCCCTGCCCCACCCCCAGCTCATCAAATCACATTCAGCACCATTGTTTTGCTTTTACTGGTATGGCCCACTAAGCAGAACTTAATCCATTCTACTGCTTTCCTAACCCAAAGTATCAAAGTTCAAATTCCTCCAAACAAAAACAGTTCTATCACAGTAATACCCTAGTCCCTGGTACCAACTTTTGTCTTAGTCAGGGTTTCTATTTCTGTGAAGAGACACTATGACCATGGCAACTCTAATAAGGGAAACATTTAATTGCGTTGGCTTGCTTTCAATTTAGAGGTTCAGTCCATTATCATCATGGTGGGACATGGTAGCATGCTGGCAGACATGGTGCTGGAGAAGTAGCTGAGAATCCAACATCTTGCAGGCAACAGGAGATGGTCAGTCTCTTTGGACATGACTTGAGCATATGTGAGACCTCAAAGCCTGCCTCCACAGTGATACACTTCCTGCAATAAGACCATACCTACTCAAACACAACTTCTAATAGTGCCATTCCTTTTGTGGGCCATTTTCTTTCAAACCACCATATAGTACTCTTTAGTGGAAGTGCATGCAAGTTGTGTAGGGATTTTCCAGTATGTGGCATTCATAATCATTATCCATGCTGAGATGGACTTTTTGGTGATGCAGCTGCATCTGGGTGATAATTCACCATTCATATCCCTGTAGGCAACCCCAATAAACTCATTGGTTCACCGAGTCAGGCTTGGTGGAATCTTTTCTTTGGTTGGCTGCTTGTGCCCTATCTTAGGGAGAATAGACATGTATTCATGTCTCCTTAGAAGATCACACAACACCTCATATCAAGTGGTTTCTTTTTATTTTTATATATTCTTTGGCAATTTCATATACATATACAATATTTATTGAGTGTATCCACACTGCCTGACATCTTTTAACACCTCTCTCTCTCTCTCTGAAAATCCACTGCTAACTGATCTTGTTGACTTGATCTTGTGCAAGTAACCATAGGTGCAGTACGTGCATGAGTGCAATGAATATGCCGCATCCAGAAGACAATATTTCACAGTACTTTACCACATCCTTTGGTGCTTACTTTCTTTCATCTCCACTGCTCAATGTTTCCTCAACCTTCAGGAAGGGGTTGGTAGCAATGTCCCAGTTAGGGCTGGGCACTCAGCAGACATTTATTCTCAGCACGTTGACCAGCTCTTATCTCTGCATTACCAATTGCCTACTGCAGAGGAGGCTTTTCTAGTCAAAGTCAACTGTAGCACTAAATATTTAGAAGGCAGTTTTTCAACCTATTTAGCACAGCAACAACATGTTCCCTTAAGGCCTATATGACCTGGTATCAAGGGTTCTTGCATCCTGCTCCTTTGAGCACATGACTGACTTATGAAATACCACATCCATCCTTTCCAACTTTCACTCACCAAAGGTCAGGCTTAGATGAATGTTCAAAATGCTTGTTGGAACAGCAAATGAGTAGAGGCTTCACTTTAATCCCCATTTCAAAATGTACTATCTAATTCCATTCTGGGGATAAAAGAGTTTCAGAAGCCCACACTGGCTCTCCCCTCCCATCTCACTCCAGCCAGATGGGGAGGTAGGAAGAGCTCCTATCCCTCCACTGTCTGATTAGAGATTCCCCACGAGCTGTCACAGATCTGTCACAGGGACTGAGGAGAGTCCAAGAAGGGCAAGAAGAATTGGCAAAGGATTGAAGCAATCAGGAACTGGGCTGCCTGCTGCAGGGGAGGAGGAAGGAGGGGCCATCTTGACATCAGAGCTTGGTGAACTCTACCTGCCCCCATGCAGTTTCCCATGGGCCCTGCCTGCATCTTCTTGAGGAAAGGCATTGCTGAGAAGCAGCGGGTGAGGTGGCAGGAAGAGCAAGGGAATCTGGGGCATGGGAAAAACTGGTGTGCAAATGCTGAGCAACAAGGGGAGCAGGTGGAGAGAGTGTAAACTGAGTTCAAGTAGCATCGTATAGACACAAGGATCAGCAATCAGAAGTCAGGAGCAAACCAGGATGGTGGAGTGAGAGGAATGTAAAAGGGATTGGGATGGAGCCGTTCTTGATAACATCATTGTTTTATAAATCATACAGTGGTGATAATGGTGCTGCTGCTGCTGCTGCTGGTGATGACAATGTTGATGGTGATTGTAGTGATGATGGGGATGACAGTGGTGATAGTGATGGTGGTGGTGCTGCCGCTTCTGATGACGATGGGTATAGTGATGGTGTTGATGATGCTGATGATGGTATTAAAAATAGCTACTGCTTATTGAGTCTTGCTGTGTGCCTAGTCCTGTGAAAAAGGCTTGGTGGCATTCAGTCCTCAGAATAACACATGAGGTTGGGTATGATTTCATTCCTGTTTTACAAGGGAGTAAATTGAGACCTTTAAATTATGAAGTTTTTTGCTTTAAATCTATACAGTTAATCAGTGGCACAATTTATGGATCTACCTATTTATTTACTTAAAATTTATTTAATTTTTAAAATTTATTTATTTATTTAAAAAACTACCTTTTCTCATTTTACATACCAATCCCAGTTCCCACTTTCTCCCTCTTCTGGCTCCCTCCACCTTCCCCTCTCCCCACCCCTATCCACTCCACAGAAAGGGTAAAGCTTCCCATGGGAAGTCAATAAAGTCTAACACATTGAGGCAGGACCAAGGCCTTCCCCACTATATCAGGCTGAGTAAAGTATCCCTCCAAAGAGAATGGATTTCAAAAACTAGTACAAACAGTAGGGATAAATCCTGGTCTCACTGCCAGTGGCCCCACAGTCTACCCCAGCAATACAATTGTCACCCATATTCAGAAGGTCTAGTTCAGTCCTATGCTGGTTGCCCCACTGTCAGACCAGAGTCGGTGAGCTTCCATTAGCTCAGGTAAGCTGTTTCAGTGGGTATCCCCATCATGGTCTTGACCCATTTGCTCATATTGTTGCCCCTCCCTCTCTTTGACTGCACTTTGGGAGCTCAGTCCAGCGCTCTGCGTATTTAGTCCTGTTTGATTCTTAGGAACATGCTCTTCATTGTAAGCCTTTAAAGTCACCAGAAAGGGGAAGAAAAGAAAGGAGAAGGTAGAAAGGGAGGGGAGAAAATGGAAGGGAAGAGAAGGGGAGGGGACATGGGTCAAGGTGTGGGGCAAGGCAGGACAGGGAAGAGAAACAGGAGAAAGGAAGTGAAGGGAAGATAGAGGAAGGGAGAGGGAAGAGAGCTGAGGGAAGGTAAGAGCTTGCATGGGAAGAAAAGAAGAAGAATCCAAAGTGAGGAGGTCTCCAATTATAAGGTTGATAAGGAGTAAATTCCCAGGCACTATGCCTGCTAACCAAGCTTACCCCCCAGGTGTACTCATGGGTAGAGAACAATGACCAGCAATTCTCGGATGTGAGACTGACACCGAATATTCATGGAGCACTCTGAACACTGGTTTCACACAAGGGGATGCTTACTGGGAATGAGGATGGAGGTGCTGGAGTCAGTGGGATATAGCAGAAAGAATTGGGCATGGGAGCTAGGAGACCTGTGTCTGACCTCTGAGTGATCTCAAAGGAGTATGTGTGTCATAAAAGCAGAAGAGGGTGTTACTTCAGGGGAGAAATGGGACTGGGGAGAGAGGAACATGTGCTAGAGGTGGTGGCGGTGCCAAAGACAGCAAAGGTCAGCGATGCAGATGTGTGACAACATCACAGCGCAAACCTGTTTCTTTGTTAACAAAAACTCATTTCTTAAAAGGATGAAGTGGCTGAGTATGTATCTTAGCTGGTAGAGTTTATCTTGCACATATGAGGCCCTGGGTTCAATTCCCAGATCCATAAAAAGGGGGTGTGGTAGGAAGTTCCTGTAACCTCAGTGCCTGGGAGATGAAGGCATGAGGATCCGAAGTTCAGAGTCTTTTTTGGCTACTAGTCTGGGCTACACTAGATTGTCTAAATACATACATACATACATACATACATACATACATACATATATATACTAGAATAGAATAGTTCAATAAGGGCCAGTGAGGGCCAGCAGGTCAAGGCACCTGTTGCTAAGTCCAAAGACCTGAGTTCTATCCCCAGGATAAAGAAAGGAAAGAACTAACTGCCTCAAGTTGTCCTCTGATACCTCACAAGTACTTGGAAAATGCTTGCATTTCAAAATGATTAAATAGGCAAATAAATAAAAGGAAAACAGGATTAATTGATTTATCTCTCCCTTGAGGGGGATATTATACATATGAACTGTGTGACCTTTGGTAGGCTCATTAATCTCTCTGCTTTTCAGCTTCTTATGGGTGAGATGAGAATATTTGAGTTTACCTCACTGACATGGTTCTGAGGTTTAAATACAGTGAAAGAGCTTGACACAGACATTCCTCTGAACACAGTAGATGAGACATATTTTCTTCATCTAGAGAAGAGGTTCCAACTCTCTTATGTTTAGGACAGACAGTCAGAGATTAAGACACAAGGATAGGAGACAGGAAAGGGGAGGGGATGGGAAAAAAGGGTGGTCAGAGAAGAGCTGGGGATGGGAGGTGGAGATGGAAGGAGGAAGAAGAAAGTGGAAGAGTGTGAAGGACCAGAAAGCTTGATAGAACAATGGGCTTGTCTGGGGGAAGTGGGACTCCTCCAATCTCTCGTTCTTGTGTTCCTTTCAGGAGAGGCCACTGGGACAGGATGAGATTGATGGTAACTCCTTGCTCAAATGCCCTTCCATGTTAGCCACCCACATCTGCCCTCTCCTGCATTTTTGTGTAAATTCTTTCATGTGAACATTCCTTTCCTCCCTCTCCCTGTTAGATGTAATTTGCACAGCTCATTCTGTGTCAGTTTAGGATCTGCTTCCCGAGTATCAATGGGTTGTGTCTGCCTCATTTGAAACTCAGAAATGATAGGTTTTAGAGTGATTTAAAAAACGTTGCTATTCTTTTCCTTTGGTTGTTTTGAGATCCCTTGTAACTTCACTTAAGACTCTGAGGACTTCAGTGCTCTCAGGGGTTACCTCACTAGCACATTTTACAAATCCCTGCTTTTTCAAAAATGAGTCATTCAGTTCATTAAATGTATTCTACGAAGAAACTGTATTCTGTATTTGAAGAATAGTTTCTTCGTAGAATACATTTAATCTCTAGTTGTGTCTTATTGATAATTTCAAGAGATACCAGTCTTCTCTACTGACTGTTTCAGGTTGCTCTACAACTAGCTCTTCTCTCTTCCTTTTTAGAACTCCGGGAAGCATTTCTTGAATTTGACAAGGACCGAGATGGGTTCATCTCTTACAAGGATTTGGGCAATCTCATGAGGACGATGGGTTACATGCCTACAGAGATGGAGTTGACTGAGCTGGGCCAACAAATCCGCATGAACCGTGAGGGCAGGGGTCGGGGACATGCCCAGCGTTGGGACAGGGTGGGAGTGAGAAAGGTGTTCAGGTTGAGAGTAGCACTTTAAATAGGAAGGTTGTTAAGGGGAAAGAGCTGCCTGACAGAAAGCATCTTTTTGACTGTGCTCCATTTGAAGTGGTTAGAAAGAGGATTTTTAAAGATGTATCTAGATACTAGTTGCACATTTTATCACTAAAAATGTTAAAGATTTAAAATATCATCTGTATGAATATTTTGCCTGTATTTACGTTTGTGCACCAAGTATGTGCCTGGCACCTGCAGAAGCCAGAAGAGGGCGTCAGATTCCCTGGAACTGGAGCTACACACAGTCATGAACTACCATATGGGTTCTGAAAAATAAACTCAGGTCCTCTGTAGGAACAGACTGTGCTCTTAATAGCTGAGCCTGCCCAGCTCCCCACTTAAAAATTTCAAATTGCTTTTGTATATTTTGTGTGTTGGTGGAAGAGGGGGTGCATGTGAATGCTACGGCGTCTGTGTGGTAGTCAGAGGACGATTTGCTGGAGTCAGTACTCTCCTTTCACCATGTGAGTCCTGGGGATCAAACTCAATGTCATCAAACTGGACAGCAAATACTTTTTTCCTGATAAGCCATCTCCCTGCCCCTTAAGTCTATCTTTTATTATTTACTCCTTGTGAACATTTTGAACAATGGGATATTTCTGGAATATTCCTGGTTTTTAGTTTCCCTGTCAATCAAGTAGAGACATGATCATGGCTTACTTATTCATCATGTTGTAGAAAGTATGCCATTGTGGGAAAAGTCATATTCCCCAGTGAACTCTTACCATATCAGTAGAGTTCTTATCAGTAGAGTAGCTTGATGGATGTTGAATATACACCTGGACTTGGATCCAGTGTTACTGAGTAGCACTGTTCAGCAATGCATCATTAAATGGAACCCTAAGTTGCTTCTGTGATTGAATCCAGAATTACCCTGACTCCTAGGCATGGATGTGAGTTAACAAGATTGAATTCCATGTCATAATAGAAGAGACTCAAAGAAAACCCTTAGCATGCAGGAAGATGGCAGCTGACCTATTCTGACTTAAATGGGAAAGTGCAGGGGTAGAAGCTCAGAGCCTATGGAATCCTGGCTAACCAAGCTCTCTCTTCCTCAGTTGGTGGCCGTGTAGATTTTGAAGACTTTGTAGAGCTGATGACCCCCAAACTGCTTGCAGAGACGGCAGGGATGATTGGTGTCCAGGAGATGAGAGATGCTTTCAAGGAGGTGAGTTAATAACTCCATAATGCTGAGAGGGGTGTGGGAGACCTCAAGGGGATAGTTTTATTAGTCCATACCATGGGTAGTGCCCACCAAAATCAATTAGTTGAGATTAAATACAAAGGTAAGGAGAATCATATATTCCAAACACTTGGCAATATGTATTCATCTTATATAACCCTTTTATACAATATTAGGAATAAGCACACACTTATTCCCATCATACATATGAAGAACCCAAGGATCAAGGATTGCAAATTATATCCAATACCCCATGTTTCCCAAGGCAAATTCTGGAGCCTCTAATCTTAGTTTCTGCAACAGGAAGGAAGAATCTATGGGTTTGTTGTTTCCAGAATGGCAGAGCTATTCTGGGGAAGGAAACTTCTATTACAGAGGCTATAGGACAGGAAGATGTTTGTGGAAGAGAGGCAAGTCTAACTGAACATAACAAGAAACAGACAAGGTCTCCAGGATCTAGTGGCACGGCTCAGTAGTAGAACACTGCCTAGAATCCCCTAGTGAGGGCCGGGAATGTGACTCAGTGATAGAACCTCTACCTAGAATTCCACAGTGAGGGGCTGGGGCATGACTCAGTGGCAAAGCATCTTCCTAGAATCCACAGTGAGGGACTGGGAGTGTGGTTTTGCAGTAGAACACTGCTTTAGTGTGTGCAAGGCCTTGGTCCTTCTTTGACTTTCATGTCACATGTATTCTGTTATTTCCTTTCCTCTTTTTTCCTTCCTTAAAAGTCCCTCTTCTCTCATTGTCTGCATTCTAGTATCATGACATACACATGCATGTACATAATACTCAAATTTAAATCTATGTTGCTTGTATGAGAGAGAACATCTGATTTTTGTCTTTCTGCATCTGGCTTATTTTGTTTAACACAATTGTTTCTGTATTATATATCTTCTTGCAAATGTCATAATTAAAAATTTTAATGGATGGATAAAATTGTCAAGGAATAAATAAAATATTCTACCAAACATTTATAATAATAGTCATAATAACTTATAAAATATATTGATAATTGATAAGAATAAGAACATGGGGTGAGTAAGATAGCTCAGTGGGTGAAGGCACTGCCAAACCTGATGATCTGAGTTCAATCCCCAGGACTCACATAGTGGAAGGAGAGAAACAACTCCTGCAAATTATCCTCTGACCTTCACAGGTGCACCATGGCATGCATGTACCCACACACAAACAAACAACAAATGTAATAATTTGTTTAAGGACATGGAAAACAAACAAAAGCTAAGAAGAACCAGGAAGCTCCTGACTGTGATGGATATCTGTCACAGTAGTTGTGATGATTCCATGAATCCATGCATATGTCTAAACTCATCCAGTTGTGTGCATTGTACATACATAGCTCTTTAGATATCAACTACATCCCAGCAAAGTTGTTAAAAATAATGTAGATGCAAATTTAAAAGAAGCCCTATCCTACATTGAGGAGCCAACATTCCAGTTGATGACATGTCCTTAGTACTTAGCTTGGTTCCTGACCTCTATTGAGCTGCCTGGAACCCCGACCTTCTCTGAGGCTGTATCACCACTGAAGCTGATCTAGCCCCATTGTTTCTGTTTAGTTTGATACCAATGGAGATGGAGAGATCACACTGGCAGAGCTGCAGCAGGCCATGCAGAGGCTGCTGGGGGAGAAGCTCACACCTCGGGAGATTTCTGAGGTGGTACAGGAGGCTGACATCAATGGAGATGGCACTGTTGACTTTGAAGGTACTCACATTAAAAATTTCAGTGTGAACCTATAGCCAGAGGGCTGTAGGAGGTGGTAAGAGGAGGACTGCTGGGGCTTGCAAGTTACCAGCCTAGCTTCAGGTTCAGAGAGAGCCTCTGTCTAGAGGGAATACAGTGGAGAGTGACAGAGCTGGACACCCAGTGCCCTCCTCTGATCTCTGTGAGTGTGAACACAAGGTAAGTTCCATGGAAAAGAGAAAAACTTTTCCATGGAACTTACCTTGTGTTTGTTTCCAGGCTGCAGGCCAGCTGAGGATCTCCCACTCGCCCCTTCCTTTTGCTGGTGGAGGACAGAGGTGGTGATGAGAGGTTCACTGCAGTCCCTGGTCAGCAGCTTAACAAAGAATTGGTGAGATAGGTCTGGAAAGATGGCTCAGTGGTTCAGAGTGTTAGCTGCTCTTCCAGAGGACCCAGAAACCATGGCAGTTCCCAACTCCAGTTCCAGTGAGATCTTCTGTTCTCACCGGGCACTGTATACATGTGGTGCACAGGCACTCATGTAGGCAAAACAGCAATACACATTAAAACAATAACAACAACAATTAGTGAGCCCCAGGTTCAGTGAGGGACCTATTTTCAAGGGAATAAGATGTGAAACAAGTTGCTTTCGACAAGAGGAACTTCACAGGAAATTTTCTTTTTCAGAGTTTGTGAAGATGATGTCTCGTTGAAGAGGTAAGAAGCTGCAGACACATGCTGCCTTGTCAACATGGATTGAATGCTTGTAGAGATCTGGATTCCCAGGAGTCCTTGGGTGGAGGGTGGAGGGTTCAGGGTGCAGGGTGGTTGTAGACTTGCCACGCTGTGGACTTGGGGATGGCTGCAAACAGTTGCTTTGCTACTTGGGAGAAGAGATGTGTAGAAGCAAATGTAGAAGGGAGAATATGTACATAAATATGAATTGTACTATGATCAGTTGCCACTCAAACATTCCAGGGGCCATGACATCTTTCCCTAATTCTCTGTTTCCCACAGATTTTCCTTCTGTGTCTCCCTTTGGAAAAGATGGTGTGGGGAACTTTTTTCACAGTCTGAAGAAAAGAAAATCTTTCAAAAAGTTCCACACACAGCCTACTTTCCGCCTGGCTCCTCTAACAACAACTTCATTTCTTTTTCTTGGCAAGAGAGTGATGAGGAGCCTGATAAGTCTTAGCTCGGAGGAGGCCTTGAAGGTTGAGTTTCCCAGAAGCACAGTCTGTCACTTCCCTGTAAATACCCATGTCCCTGCTCTAGTGTGAGATAACCCTGGGAGAACTGAGCTAAACCATTAATCTGGATTATCAAGGTTTAGAGCAAGCTGATCCCTGGAGGGAATTAATCTCCTGTAAAATATTTCGAGGGAGGTGAAGCGGTGGAAAGAAGACAGGATTCTTCAAATCCCTAGCTCAGCCAGGTGACTGCAATGCCATTCCCAGAAGCCCTCTGCCCCTGTGCTGATGTGCCCTGGGCTGCTCCAGGCGAGTGTCTACTTTCCTTAGGTGGTTCATGGCCTCCATCCTAACATACATGGATCTGGACACTTCAGCCTCTTTATCACTCAAGATAAAGAATTCGTGTCATGCCTTCCTCCAATCTTTTCTTGCTTTGGTGTTCTTTAGGTAAACCTATAGAATATGTCATCTGATCTCTGACCCAATAGCCTCAATTTATATGACTGAAATAAAGTAAAAGTAGAATAATAATATGTGTTCCATCCTCTTGCTTATGGTTGTTCTGTTTGTCACTCTCTGGGGACCATTTGAATCTATTTTTAGCATTTTTCTTTTGGTATTTATGTAGTAATTTTCTCTGAATTGAAACATTTCAACCCAGAGGAAAGCATGCTAAGACTCAGGAAATTCTAAATGAGGATTCTTAACATTCAACTATGAGTCTCAAAAGATGGCTCTGTAGTTTAGAGTACTGTTCTTCCAGAGGACCCGGGTTGATTCTTAGCACACACATGGTGGCTTCTAACCACATGTAATGTCAATTCCAGGGTATCCGACTCCCTCGTGGGCTTCTGTGAGAACTGAATGCATATGGTGCACATACATGTGTGCAGGCAAAACATCCATAGACATAAACATGAAGAGTGAAGGTATGGTCATGGCTTTCTTCGGATGATAATCTGGAGGGAGGTGAAGTGAGAACACAGGATGATTAAATCTACGGAGACGTGTGCAGCCTGCCATTGGCAGTGTTCCCAAAGAGAGTGATTATCCCATTTGAAACAGCTGACGACTCTTCTAATAGGGGTGGGGCCTCAGGGGCCCTGCCTTTATCTGTGATGGAATTTTGACTGACTTGATCTTGTGTGGGTAACCATTGCTACTATGAATTAATGAAGTCCATAGCCTTGCTGTGTCCAGAAATCAGCATTTCACAGCTTTTCTCCCATCCATCAACTCTTACATTTCTTTTCAGCCCCTCTCTTCCGTTATATTCCCTGAACTTTGGTGGGATTTTAATACAGATGACTTATCTACAGGAGAGCACTAGAGTTAGTAGTACTCAGCACTTTGGCTAGTTATGAGTGTCTGTATTAACCACTACCCACAGCATGAAGCAGTTTCTCTGACCAAAGTAAAAAATAGCTTTGGAAAAAGAAAAAAATCTACTTATATCTAGAAATATTTAGAATGTAGTTTGACAGCATGACCATCTCTACTCTTTTTCTTATTTGGCCAGTTTGATGATCTCACAGCAGCAGCAAGCCCCTCTACTTTCCTTCTTAAGTGTTTAAGACCTTACTACCTTTGACTCTAGCATCCGCTTTATGCCCAACTGATCATTATTTATTTGTTTGTTTGTTTGTTTATTTATTTATTTATTTTTCATTTATTTTTGAGACAGGATCTCACTATGTAACTGGCCCAGAACTTTATATATGTACCAGGCTAACCTAGAACCACCATGGTTAGCACAACCTATTCTTATAATAGTGATGCGGCATTTCTAAAGCTGATTAAGCTGGAAAGGTGTCCAATGATGATGAAGCAGATTCCAGCCTCAACATGATGTCTCCCTCTTCTCACTGAAAATAGAACCAGGGGCTACAGTTTGATAAATAAGTATGCAATGGTTTAAAGTACATTATAAATAAAAAAGTAAAAGGGGATTTTGCATGGTTTTAAGACAGTAATTAGAAACACCCGAGTGAGGAATAGGTAGACCCCTACTCCCTCTTGGCTCAGAGAATGAATCATGAGCACTTGGCTTCACTTTTATGGGAATGAATTTTATGAGAGAGGAACCTGTAATATAATCTTGCTGTAATGGAAAGATGTTGGGAGGAGGAGGATGGGAGGAAGAGGAGAAGAAAAGGGAGAGAAAGAGGAGGAAAGGGGAGGAGGAGGAAAGGGGAGGAGGAGGAAAGGGGAGGAGGAAAGATCAGGAGGAAGAAGAGAAAGAAGAGAAGAGGAGAGCAGAGGAGGAGGGCATATCAAGTTGCAGTAAGCCTGAGCAGTGCCCCCCCCCCCCGCCACTGCCATGTGTTAAGGCTGGGCAAGGTGACCAAGTATGTAGGTGTAGGGTTCCAAAAGTCAGCAAAAGTCAGAGGCAGCCCCTGCTCCCACTTTTAGGAGTCCTACAAGCAAACCAAGCTACAATCTGTCACTTACATGCAGAGTGTCTAGATCAGTCCCATGAAGGCTCCCAGGTTGTCAGTTCAGTCTCTGTGAGCCCCTATGAGCCTAGGCTGGTAGATTCTGTGAGTTTTCTTGTGGTGCCCTTGACCCCTATGACTTCCACAATATTTTCCCACTCTTCTGCAGGATTCCCAGGTCCCACCTAATGTTTGACTGTGGGTTTGCATCTTTCCCCATAGTTGCTGGGTGAAAACTCTCTGATGACAACTGGACTAGGCACAAATCTATAAGAATACCAGAACAGACTTAGGCATCATTACTTTGACATTTTCCCCTCCAGTCATGTTTGGTTCCATCCTAGTTCTATTTGAGTCATCCAGCCTTTGGGTCCTGATGCTCCAGGCACTGTCAAGGGTGGACTTATTCTCCTGGAATGGGTTTTAGGCTAAATCAGTCATTGGTTGGCCACTCCCTCAGTCTCTAGACCACCCTGACCTCAACACATACCACAGACAGGACAGACTGTGGGTGGAAGATTATGTGGCTAGGTTATTTCCCCAATCCTCCACTTGAGGTCTTGCCTGGTCACAGGAGATGGCCAGTTAGTATCTGCTATTGCTAGGAGTCTTAACTGGGATCATCTTTGTAGACTGCTGGGAGATTCCCTTGTGCCAGAGTTTTGCCTGACGCTCATATGCACCCCCTCTTTCCAGTAGTCTCTCAGGACTCTCCCTCTCCACCCTACCTGATTGCTCATATTCTCATCCCCACCCACCCTCAGTCCACTCACAAAAATCTCTTTTATTTCCACTTCCCAGGGGGTGTCCCCCCTTTACCCCTCCTTGTTACTTAGCTTTTCTGTGGCTGTGGATTCTAACAGCATAGTTATCCTTTATTTTATCGTATTTGTCAGGCTAACCTTCTATATCCCAGGACCACCTACATAGGGATGGCACTGCCCACAGTGGGCTGGGCTCTCTTACATCAATTAACAATCAAGACCTTCCTCCACACATATGCCCACAGGCCAATCTGGTCTAGGTAATTCCTCAGATGAGGTTCCTTTCTCAGGTGACTCTAGATTGCATCAAATTGACAGTTAAGACTCACTAGGACGTTTCAGACACAACCAAGGTAAACAAGGTATGTCATCCCTGACACCTTTCTAAGAGAGAGGACAGGCACCGCCAATGTTACAAAAATTCATTTTAGTGTGAGACAGGACCGTGTTAGATAAATAGACAGGGATACACAATGAGTCATTTTAAAACATCGTAGACTGAGAGAAAAATAAATCCCTTTCCAATGGTCTTTTGAATCCTTCTGATTATGAAAAGGAAAAGCTTCAATTTAATGTGGATACATCTCTACTGTCTGATTTCATAATCTCCCCTTTTAGTAAAAAGGAGGCCAGGACGTAGCTTAGAACCTTTTTGAACAGTAGTATCTAGTGAAATGTTACACCAGGCTTTTCGTAGCACTTTCTAGTTGCATTCCCTCTGCACAGAAGGCACTGCTTACCTTTTATTATATCAAAGAAATAAAGACTTTATTTCTTTAGTGAACTAAAGGGTATCAGAATTAAAGAAAATTCCAAGTAAGTAGTAGTTTTTGGTGGTATCTAGATGTGGCAAATAGAGAAAAGGGTGACATCTGAGTTGTTAAGTTTGAGAAATATGATCCCTTGATATTTTTATTTTTTTTCTGTATGAAAATGAGAATTTCATGTTTTATTCAGGATATCTGTAGATCCCATAGTGGTGAATTAGTCACAGGTCAACAACTGACAGAATAACCAAGTTTACAGAATACAAGAGGAAAGAAAGCTAAGCAGCCTTTTTAAAATACAAGAATCGTAAGAAGAGCTAAAATGCAAATTAGAGCCAAAGTGTAAGGTGTTACTTTATTTTTTTTTTCACTACTCAATACTAGATACTTAATACTGGTCTTACATCTCAGAGAATGTTGTTCTAGCCAATATTCACACGTTCATACCACGTAAGGAGAAATGTAAATTTAGTGCCTTCTTTGGAGTAAAGATGGAATGCCAGCTAAACTTTCCAGTCTGCTAATCCAGGTTCACAGCCTCTATTCCTGCCTTTCTCTGATATCCTTTATTTTCCTACTTTGTTCTCTCCTTTAATGACAGTGACGGATTCCACAAGTAAAATAAACTGGTGGGTAATCGCTCCTCTCCTCCTTCCTTCTCCAATACACACTGTAGTGGAAACGGTGTTTGATGTCTTCTAGCTCAAAACAATTTTCAAGGAAGCCTCTGTCCACCATCCTCTGTCATTAGCCAGTTAAATACACATCAACGTGCTTGGTCAAGGAGAAGAAAGTGTATTCCTTACTAGTACTGACTGAGTTTAGACAAAAATTTCAGACATTTTTTGGTTGTTACAACTGGTGGAGATTTCTGGTCCTAGCATCTGCCACCTCTGTATGTCCTATGATGCACAGGCATGCTCTCCAAAGCGAAGAGTCATTGGGACCTAAATTTCAAATAGGGACAAGGTTGGAAAACTCTAAGAAAGAGTTCTGAGTCCCTGGACATGAGATAGAGATGAAGCAGAAGGACCTTGCCCTCTGTCTACCAGCAAATGCTTTTTTAAATTGCAATTTGCACCATGATGTGTTAAATGAACTTGAACATTGAACAATGTATTGTTATAACAGTCAGTCCTTTACTAGTACGGATGGGTAACATGAAGTCAGTCTTCAAAGTGTTTGAAGAATTGTCTCATCACTTGTTCTGTATCATGAGGGGCAGATTAGTAAGAATGAAAAAGAGACTTCTACTTTTGAACTTCACTAATGGGTTGATGTGGTTGCGGATTCTTAAGGAACATGGTATTTCCTACCTGTGGTTTCTCAGAGATATTGTGAAGCTTAAATGCATTTAATCTTGAAACAACTTAAAGCACATATGAAGCATGGGTGCTGCTTAACGAACATCAACTGACACCGTCATGATCATCACTGTCATGTTGTCAGCACCACCATCAGCAGCAGCAGCATCAGTACCACCATCACCAAAGTGTTTCCTCAACTATAGGATGCTCT